TATATAGGAATATCCACACATCAGATGGAAGTTTTTCTTCTGGAAGATAATTAAGTCTGGAGATTTACACTGTATTTCAAGAACTAACTACTGCAGTTGTTAATATGTCACCATGGTAATATGTAGAAAAAAAATCTTGCAGATTTAGTATATCATTTAAATTCTTGTTAATTTAAGAGATGTAGTGGAAGATTTAGTTATTCAGGAATTTATCCAGTTATATGTTTAATGTCTTTTTCTTCCTGTTCCATGTGTACCACTCAACTTATGTAGCACAAGTGACAGCAAGTGTGTACAGAAAACGGTTCAGAATAGTGAATTAAAAAAAAAAAAAAAAAAAAAAAAGAAAGAAAAAACAACAAGAATTTCTTGATGTTCTGCCTTCAAGTCTGTAAAAATCTGCAAAAGAAGTTTGGTGGTTCTTAGAAGAATGCAGGAGGTCTGTGCTGCTTTGGAAGAGCTAAAACAGTGACTGCCCACAGATTGCTGTTTGTGAGACAATTTCCTGCAGGACAGGAGGTGAGTGGAAGGAATCCAGATATGTTAAGTGTTGAGTGGTCAAATTTCTTAGTAGTTCATCACACTATGATGGGCAGAACCTGGGAGCATGCATAGAGGGATTTTCTGATCTGCACCATCAGTTCAGGCTTTTCTAGTGCAGATAGAGAGTTGCCGTTTCCCTAACTCATGCTGGTGTTTTTTTGGTGTTCTTTTGTTGTTCTGCATGATGCTATTTGCACCCCTTTATCTTATTTTATACTGCTTACCTTTGTCAGTATGTTGCCTTCTGAAGTGTATTTCACAAAAGAGAATGCCAATTTGTGCTCAGGTTCCTTTAGTCCCTTCTATGCTGTAATCACTCCCCTTTCTTATTTCTTTATTCAGTTTTCCTTCTTTATATATGGATTTTCTGTTTTGTACCTACCAGTACAGTTGAGAAATTTTAGTGGAAGGAAACTTCAACAGGACCAGCTGAGGCAGATAAACTAATATTCTTACATAAATTGATGACCATTGACTGCAAATTTGGTATTCTTGATTTGTTGCAGTGCCACTAGTAGAGCACTTAGTGAAGGTGGTGCCTGCAGTTCCAAACAGACTGTCAGAACCATGGGCTAACTCCTGAGAAGTCTGGAGCCTAAAATGACAGATAATTGCTGCAGAGTTGCAGATGACAGCACTGAGGACTGCGTGTCAGAAGAGATTTACCTCTTTCCTGTAGAAACAGGATTTTATCAGATGGCTTGTCTGTCTATGCACAAAGTATAGGATAATACAGGCTGGTAAGTCATGCTAATGGTGGCTAATGTTACAATAATAGAATCATCAATTTGCTGCATTGTCTTTGCATTAATGGGTCTGTGTCAGGCTTGGAATTAGACACGCAGTCTTGTTAGCTTCATTTGGAAGAGTAAGTATTAGTTACTTGCCTGTTCTTATTTTTAATAGATGACATAATCGCTTATTTAAAAGGTAGTACACCACTCACAAGGTCCCCCCTCTATCATTTCTATGTTCTCCTTGCTTAGCTGAAACGTTGTATGCAGTCTGGTCTCAAATGCCTGGAATCTTTTTGATAATGGCCTTTGGTTTTAAGTAAATGCAACATGCTTCTAAGTCAAAGCAATAGCAACAAATAATTGGTATTTGTTTAACAGGCCTCTTTCTCTGCTGAGACAGTTATTCCAGCTGAAGCTCTGGTGCAGAAGATACAGGGTACTGAAGAACTGGGCCCATGATGCAGTACTCAGTGCAAAAGTGTTTATTGAGCCAAGTCAGCCAAAGCGCATGTTTCCTTACCAAGAAGTGAGTCAATAGCAATTAGCATTGTTCAACGTGCTGTGATCTGAGAAAAGGGAAATTGGATTAACGCTAATTGCATCTTATTTCAATTCATCATTTCAGTGCACAGACACTTTAAAATATACATAAGGCCATAAGAAAAACAGTGTGCACTTACATGATTAAACATTATAACATAGTATCTCCAAAAATTTAGGAATCTAACGCTCAATTCAAATATGAAATATCAAATAGTGTTATGGTGTTGAAACACTAATAGCTGCATTAGAAATCAGCAGCCAGGTAAAGGGGAGAGCCACAGATCCATGCTCCACACTGAAGGAAGGGTGAGCAAAGCACAACTGTTATCCTACTGATTTAGCAGCAGCCAACCAGACAAGAAAATAGCATAACTGAGGACTGGGGCAAGCTCACACTCACTAGGAAGATTGTAAAGAAGAGATGAGATATTGCTGTGAAGAGAAATGGCACTGTTTGTGCCAATGGACAAAAACAGATCTGTGGGAAGCCAAGCTTCATTGCCTCTGGAACAACCTGTTTATAAGCTCAAGATTCTGAAGTGCTCTTTGTGGATAATTTTTAGATTGATTAGAGATAATAAGAACAAGAAGAACGAATTCTCACTGTCTGGCAATCAAAGCTGTTTCCCAGAACATTTTAGGCATAACATCCTATTTCAGCAGTAAAGCCTAATGTATAATTGGGTTGCAACTCTTTCTTTCAAAAAGGTAAGAGAGTGTTACAATAATTATTTAGTATAGTTTATTCATAGGGATAGAACATATACTGTAATCTGCCTGTGGGACTAAATGACTTACGTATGCATAGGTTTGTTATATCAAGTTCAGCAGGAATTTAAATCACTCACAAATGAGTGCACAGTGATTTTAGAGAATTACAACAGTGGGACTAATTTAGACAATTTCAGGGTATTGAATAAATTTGTAAAGTTTACTGAAGCATTAGGGAAGATAGTAATATAAAACAATTGAAACATGATGAAAGCACAGCATAACTTGTGTGTCCTTTATTATCACGAGTGTAGCTAATACTTATTCATTTGCTTTTTATGAAGTCTAGCAAAGTGCAAGAGGGTTTAAGAAAACATCAACAAGCTCAGTTTAACCACCTCCAATCTTGCCTTGAGTAGATGTATAATAAAACTGTTGTTAGCCAGAATTAAAGTATTTCAATTTCTTTTCAAATCTGACTTCCAGCTAGCTTATCATGACTGTGGTTAAAACACTAACGTTTAATATTCTGTCTCAAATCTGCCCTCAAATTCACAGTGATTCACATTTAATATATTTTAAATCCAATACTTTTTCCTTTTTGTTATGAGGTAAATTTGATGAGGCTCTGAGCATGCATGCTGATGCGCACTAGCAGTTTTCTCTGTTGTCAGTAGTAGTAGCTGGTCAGTGAATTTCAGCTTGAGCCTCAGTAGCTGAGTACAGGTAGATAATTTGAAAGAGAAGGCAATATTCAGGGTTGTGCAAATTATTTAAATTTTAAAAAGCCTGACTTTTGCAAAAACAGAATCTCTCTGGATCAAGATAGCCGTGATCCTACTAAAAGATAGAACACTTCCAGCTGGAGGGAGACTGTAATAGTCTCTGAGCTGCATTTTGCTTCTAAGCTCAAGAGCTTGTCCCATAAGCTCTTTTAAGACATTTCAGTCTGTGCGCTATTCAGTATCCTGGGGTCCCAATAATTACATTTATTGAGTCAATATATATTATTATTCCTAGTTGGCCCTGCTATTATTGGATAAAGATGTGTTGTGCAACTTTGTAACAAACATGAAATTCCAAAATGACACATTACAGTGTGTGAAGATTTTTAAGTGCAATTGCTAAAGGCAGAAAACTTTTAAGCATTTATGACAAATATTCAACTAGCATGTAGGCTGTTTGAGATGTCACAAGTTAGTTCTACTTTGTGTTTTATAATAAGAGAAACAAATATACTGCATATAATTCCTTTCTAGCCTTTACCCACCTTTGGAATGCCTAGCTTTTTTCTAGAGGAAGCAAAATCTGCATCTAATCTGCCTTGGTAAATAAAAACATTCATTATTCAAATGAATTGATATTCCAAAAGGAGTTGCAAAGGTTTAAGTTACACACAATAAACATTTTAAACTGTTTTAAGGGTACACACAAACTGCTTGCTTTAGGGGTACGCACAGAATATTTACAACCAGGCACATCTCTTCTAGCCGATACCGCATTGGAATTTACATGCCTAGGAATTATTTGTTGTTTATTTTATGTTCTGTACAGAGCAATCTTGGCAAAGTAATTTCGTTAGAAACCATAAACCAACTACTCATGCCTGGAATGAACATGAAAAGAAGAAATGATGTCAGATGGAAAGAAAACAGCAGTAAGTCTGACTGCTTGTCTTTGTTAGAGCCTTTTTTGGTGATGTTTTTTCATCCTGTGAAGATGACATGCTTCAGAGTGCACCTAAGCAATATGTAAGCTCCTCGTGGGAAAGTTCTATTTGAAAGCATGGAAATAAGGTGGTTGCATAGTGCCTTTCTGCTTGCACTCAAGAGATGTTAAATATTTTTTTCCAGTGCAACTAAGAATTGCTTGGCACAGGCAGACGCGGAAGGGTAGGAATATTCCTGTAAATGAATTCAGGCATTCTGAATTAGGGGGGTGACAAAGACAGTGAGAAGTCAGAAGAGACAGGAATTTGTAACATGGAGGATGAGGGATTCTATATGAGAAAGGTGGTAGAAGGAGTACCAGCAATGCACAAGTAATACAGCAGTCACAACTTCTATGAGAGAAGACAAGTAAGAATTACAGAGCTAATGGAATGCCTTTAAAAAAAAATACTGGCTGGTCTACTAACCTAACTCAAAGTATAACTTTCCTATTTTTTGGTAATAGTTATAGCTAGCACAAATGTTTTTTGTTTGCTTTGGACTTCTGTTATGACTGCCCACCTCCCACCCTCTGCTCATTTGGTTTCCACTTTCCTTTTGGGATAACAATCTCAGAAAGCAAACAGAAATAATACATTACTCATCTTTTTTTTTTTTACTCATCCTTAAATGAAAACTTAGCTGTTTGCTTCGTATCCATATTTGCAAGTCTGGAAACACTTAGTTAAGGAAGCAGTTGATTATAATGTTGTTCCAAAAATGATCTAAAATGTTCTTTTATAACAGTGGACTAAAATACTGTTTTCATTATTTTTCTTTATTTAGAAATTAGAGAATTAGAGTAAGACATGGATAGATACATACTTTCACAGCACAGGAAGGAAAAATAAAAGTGCTTCATAGCTAGAAGCATTTATAATTTTAAGTAGATTGTTTAAAAGATAAAGCAGTGAACGCTTTTCTGATGTTGGCAATAAATGCAGAAAAATTGTTAGTTTCTCTCACTTTCAGCTGGAACTCTGATATACAATCCAGAGGAGGAGTACATGAAGTCACTAAAACAAGAAAGGTTAGAAAATTTAGATAATTTTTATTAAAAGTATATGTGCTTTTTCCAGAATTGTGAATTATATAGATTGCAGACTGTGTTCTGTTTTACCTTCACTTATTATTTTTGAGGAATCTATTAAATTATTTTCTTTCAGTGAAAACAAAAGCTTCCAATGAACACACAATGTATTTATTTATTTATTTTTATTTCCAGACCTCCTGCTTGGTGCTGTGCTCCTGCTTCAATTGTAGCAATTTGCATCCTGCCTCAAAGACTGAAATGCATTCCTAAACATTTTTGTTGCTCTGCAGGTGGGCATATTGAAAACTGATGTAGCCCAGCATGTGATAACCTTTTCACTTCAACAAAGTTTGGACTTAAATTAATGAAAAATGAAGTCTATTCTCTCCATACCCAGAGGCACAGAGAGACTGGAGCATCCATCTGTCCCTGCATCTCTCTCCTGCTTTGCTTGATACAAAGTAAACAGCAACTTCACAAATGAAGCACAGTGCAGGTAAGCAGATAAATTTTCTTTATAAGCAAGGGTAACTTCATTAAGAACATTAGTGCTGCATTTTTTTTTCACTCTTAAGTTAGAAGATAAAGGTTACAAGTAAACTGTACTTATAGCTGTCTCTCCCTTTTTTCAAATATGCACATCAGATTCTGTCCTCATATTTAAGAACTTAAAATTCACATACCTTCATAATCTCCCTGTTCATTTATGGAAAGGGTAAACATATATGGCTTGTCGGGATCTTTGTGGTCAATATGTCTGAATATAAACTGTAACTGCTCATCTAAAGCAAACAAACAACTCGTTAACACCATTAACTTTGGATGGACAGCCTCAGCAATGAATCAAAACATAGTATAAAGATACAGTTAGAATACTTGCAAATTCAGCAAACCTAGTCTTTTTGCAAGATAAATGTGTTTTAATATACCCATCTTTTGTCATTTGAGAGGCTTACTTGGAGTTGGCAGTTACTAAGCATTGCTTCCTTAGCTTTACAAAGATTATCTGAACTGCTATTACATAACAAAAGCAACTGTGACATAGTGACACAGACACAGGCCCAGGCTATGCCTGCTAATCAATCAGCGCATACTGTCAGTGATAAGTGGTGTATACAAATGTAATGAAAGAAAGGAAAATGACTCAATATAATGCACTAAAGAAGCCCAAGTAAGCATATTTGAGGCAATTCTTCAGTTGTGCGAGCTGCAACTCCACTGCATAATCCAGCGTTAACCAGATTATATCAGTGCATTTGGAAACCAAACAAACTAACATAACTTACTATGAATTCTGCGTATTTCCAATCCAAGCCGCTCTTCAAACAGCTCTTTAGACTTGCACAGTCGTTCCACTCTCTCCTTAGTAGCTTTGTTTTTTGAAGATATTACTAGAATTTTAAAAATCACCAAAAATATGAAAGTAAAGGTTAGCAAAGCACACCAAAGCTTTAAACAGCAGAAAAGCCCATCAAGAGCTAGCACTGAAAACAATTCCTCCTCTAATTAAGAAACTCTACTTACTTTCCTTTTTCTTCATCAACTCTTCTTTAAGCTCTCGGATACTGTCAGTCAACTCCTTATTTTGCTCTTCTTCGTGGTTTAGGTTAGATTTTATTTCCATCAAATGTTTTTCATTTTCTGATATGTGTTTGTTCTGCTGGAGAATCTCTGACAGGAAACAAAATACGAACATTTACAGCTGATTAAGTAGGACTCCACTATTTAGTAATTACCTATATAATTTGTGATTATTTATTTGAATAAAATCTAGTGAAATGCATGCTAGCTCAGCCGGATATAAAAGTCAGCATGACTAAGAGCATCAAATATTAGCATAAAGTAAAAGTTGTTCAGAAAAAAGTTGTTCAGAGAAGCAAGCTCCTCTGATGCTTCAGTGACATGGAAGAGGTTTCTGGTGCCAGAACTGGTTACATCTTCAAAACATGAGGATGATGGATCTTCACAGATCAACTACTCAACAGAAGCCCCTAAGGTAAGGAAACACTCACTGATATTACGTTGCACCTATTTTTTCCTGAGATTCTGAAATTCAGTTACAGTATTTTGAGCTATTAATCCTAGACCAGCGACTGTATTTTATTAGGAGGCACAAGTAGCCTCACAGTATTCAAATTTACTTTCTTGTTTTAAGTGTAATCACCTGTTCGTCCTTCAGTAATGAAAACACTGTACAGAAAACTTTTAATCAGCCTTTATCTTTTCTGAATGAGCAATTAAGTTCTGCAGCAAATAGCTCCTGACTTGCAATTTACATCTTGTGTCTGAACGCAATTGGCTTTGATTCTATCTTCATTGTGACTTTGCAAGTTACCTTTTAAAACCTGAAGTATGTCATCCGGCTGTATTCAGTTAATTTCAGAAAAGTGAGACAGTAAGTAAAACACCATACTGTACCATTTCTGTACTCCTGAATTTTATCAATCATCAGGTCCCCTTCTTTCAGCTTCTTGGCCCATCTCTCTGTAAGAAGAGACTGCAGTTACCTGACGAACTCTGACGGTAATGTGGAGAACACGGGACACCATGAACACACGTGTTCTTACCTGAAAGCACCTTTATGGACTCCTTGCACGAGTCTCTCAGTGCTAAAGTCTGATTGATCTGTTCCGCGCCATAAACGCTTTTTAATTCAGTCCAAAATTCTTTCATTTCCCGCTCAACGACGGTTATTTCATCTTCCGTCTTTACAGCAGACATGATGCTTCAACGCATAAGCAAACACTGTGCCGAGACGCAAGCCAACCACAGCAACTGTACCCAACGTTAACGGGAGAGCTTCAGGCTCGGTTTGATCCCGCGCGAGTTGCCAATAACCTTTTCCTTTACGTCGCCTCCGTCTCCAGCCCGTGACGGCGGTAGCTAGGTAAGTTTCCTTTGCCGCCGCAGCGGCGGGATACAACCGGCAGAGTTCCCGCGGTACTGCTGCTGCCGCCGCGCTCCTGCGGCTCGAGCCCGGTCGCACCCGCAGCTTTCAAACCTGGGGCGCCTTCCCGCCTCTCTAACGGCTGCGTGTTCACCGCGCGCCGCCCCGCAACAAGCGCGCCGTTGATTGGCCCGGCCGTCCTTCCTGCTGGAGGCTGGAGCCGCGGGGCGCGCTGGGAGTCTCCGTGAGGGCCGGGCCGTGAGGCGGGGGCGGTCCCGGTGCTCTTCGCCTATCATTGACGAGAGCCTGGCGAGGCGGGGGCTGCCGAAGTAGCGGCTGGTATACGTTGCTGCGGGTTCGAGCCGGAGGCTCGCGGTGCCAAACCGTGTGGGGCTTGCCCCTTGCAGTGCTTACGCACGCCCGCTTTGCGGGGCAGTGGCGAGTACAGTCAGTGTCCAGCAGTGGGGCAGGATGGCGCCTTTATGCGCCACCGAAGCCAGAACTTGTTCCAGTACCAAGTTAGAGAGTTCCGAGAACGTGCTTGGGCAGACTGCTGGTGTTTGGTGGTACTCCCAAATCACTTTTTAATTCTCCAAACCTAGGTTATCCCATAGGTGGGAGCTACTCATCTGTTATCTAAAGAGAGACAGACCGAGAACCGCTCAGTCCTTTTTGGTAGCAGCAGAAACAGAGACCCTACTGCTGCCTGTGCTCAGTCACGCTTCTGTCACCGGCCTTTGGCACCACCAGTGCCCACCGACACCACAGCCCATCTTTTCAGCACCACTGCTCCCTCTGGGCTCTGGCCGAGCACTGCTTGTGACCCAGGTACCAGCCTTCTGTTTGTCATGGGACTTTCTTAGTGATCAGCTTGTTGCCGTGGCTAATGACTTCCTGTCTTTAACTTAATTTAGTGCCGTTCATATGATCTCAAAATAATGTAAATATTACTGCTTTGAGGATTGCTATCTGAAGCCATTAATTACTCCTCCCTCCCTGAAGCACTAAGCACAATCTCAGCTGAAGGCACTGTTGGTTGTGTTATTCTTGGACAAAGTTACTGCTGGTGGATAGTACTTGTAAACCCCATTGTGTTTCTGTCTCAGTTGACTTGGACACCTGTTCTCCAGTTTCCTAGCACTAGCAGTCCTAAAACTAACATTAGACTTGTGTTCCCTATCTTCTTGAGGCTTGTATGCACTAAGATTGGGCTGGTTATTATGAGTACCAAGCCATGTACTGATTTAGGCACAGCGTATGGCTTTTTAAAGTAGGACCATTGCTGTTCTTTAGGACGAGGTTGCATGTGGCCTTTGGCAGCCTTATCTAGTGCCTCATGCCTCATTTACTGGTTGGCAACCCTGCCCACGGCAGGGGGCTGGAACTAGATAATCTTTAAGGTCTCTTCCAAACCAAGCCTTCTGTGATTCTGTTATTTTCCCAACCCAACCTTAGACCTAACTGAGTGAACACTGCCAGTGTAATGTTTAAATGTTGCCCCTGACACAACTGCCTTTCTTCTTTGGGCTCGTAACTGTCTGAATATGCTATTTTCCTAAATCTAGTTGTTAAGCAAATACAAATTCAACTCATCTAAACAAACCTTAACCTCTAATGTCTTTTAACAGTCTCATTCCATCAAAAACTAACTCAACCTAGCTCTGGACCAGGAATTTGTTTTGAGATGTGTTATTTTCTAAATGTCTGACATATTCAAGCCATGCAGTAATGCATGGAATTAAGTTTTGACAGTGATTTAACCTGCTTGTATCTCTGTGAGATTTGCTGTAGGTGATGCAATTGTCCTGATTTCCCCCTTTCTGCATGTTTTAGCTCTTTTTGGGTGTATGTGTGTGTAATGTGGTTAAACTTGTGTAGTGGCACCAGCAGGTGACAGATACTTGCAACCAGGCTGAGGGGCATGCTTCTACAAACAAAAGTCTGTAGCTTTATTGTATTGCTAGCCACAAGTCCTTACCTGATATTGTGGTGCTGAAGACAAGGTTAGGTGGGAGCTCCAGCTCAAGGTAAGGAAGCTGCTGCAGCTTGGATGGAAACTGCTCAGGGTACCTAAAATTGAGGAGCTGGTGCTTGTAAGCAGACTCAGCTTGGCAGGCTTCTAATCTCAGTGGGCTACTGTTGATTGGGTTAGTTTCAGAGGCTAGAGAATGGCAATAAATAAAGCAGAGTGATCTTATTGAAAAGAGAACAAAAATTATAATGGAGGTTGTTGCCTTAATGGGTCCAGACTCCATGGCTTCCTGCAGTTTATGGAACTTGAAGGCTAAGCTCTACTTTTTACTCACTCTTAAACTCTTGATTGTTTGTGGTACCAAAAATGTACTTTCTCATACTTGAAATTCTAATAACATCCCTTAGCTTTGACTGTTTCAGGAACATGCCAGAACTGTATTCTATGTTTTGTTTGTATCATTTACATCATTACATGTACAAGCAAACAGGAATATATACAATATTAAAGTCTGGCAGTTATTGTTGGAAATGGGAGTTCCTGTACTTTCCTCTATTTGCATAGTTTATACCAAGGAAAGAAGAACTACAGTAACTAGGAAAGATCAGATTAAGATCACTATTTGCATAGTTTATACCAAGGAAAGAAGAACTACAGTAACTAGGAAAGATCAGATTAAGATCAGTTTCTTCTATTTGCATAGTTTATACCAAGGAAAGAAGAACTACAGTAGCTAGGAAAGATCAGATTAAGATCAGATCAGAACCAAGAGAAAGCAGTTTGTGTTAGCTTTTGCTAACTCTCCACTAGTCAGTCCAGCCCACAGGAGTTCACCAGGGCAGCGTGGGTCCTGGGTCCAACAAGGAGTGCTTGAGGGCATGAAATAGGAAAGAAAAGTAAGAGCTGCTTGAAAGATTCTTCTGTTCTGAAATCTGAAATTAACATGCATCTTCTCAGAAGCTCCATTTGGAGAATATCCAGACCCAAGAAAATAGCTGTCCATTGTTGTATGGAGGGTTTTCTATTAATCCTTGTAGCTGGCCCAGTGCCAATGAAAACACTGATGTGGAAATTAATGTTATTGTTCAATTAACTAAACATAATGTAGCAGAAAGTTAGGCCCAGTACATAGCCTCCCATTAACAGTGATTTAGAAGATGTTTGCTTTGACGGCTTTTCTTTCCCTTGCAAACATTTGCTTTGCAACGTCTGACATTGGTTATGTAATGTTTGCTCTCATGTGTAGGTGTAAAGTAGCTGTAAACATTTTGTTCTTCCTCCTGTGGTTCATCAACGTGATTTTGTTTCTGTGCTATTACCAATAATATAGAACATCTTTGATTATCTCTGTTTTTACATATCTTGGAAAAATGAAGCAAGTTAAAAACTTTTTATGTGAACAGAAACTATTTTAAAGGGTTTTTCATGTCAAAAGCTTTGATGTCAGAATGTTTTGAATTATTTTTTTCCCATTCTATGCAGATCACTGGTTTTCCTTGCATTTCCACTTGCTAAAATACAGCAAATGGTTCTATTTCAGATATTATCTCAAGCGATTCAGAAGACTGGGAGCATTACACAGAATAGGAAGGAAGAGCCTATTGAGGAAGTAGCTCTTCACTGCTGAAGTTCAAAGTTGTTGTTAAATGCAGTATTTCAATAAATGTTTCTCTGTCTTGACTTTGCTGGTTGCTGGAACTAAGAAAGCCTTGGGTATCTCAGCCCTTTGTGGGTTGCCAGATGCCACATGCAGGTCAGCAGTGACCCACACATCAGCTGTCTGTGCCTGCTGGACAAGGCAGGATTGTGAGAGCTTCCAGGCACCACAAAATCATCACTGCCTATGTCACAGAAATCTGCTTACCTCTTCCCAACCCCTTCTGCTTTTTGTCAGATGTGGACTTGTTGTGTTGTTGGGTTGGGTTTTTTTGGAAACAAAGAATGCTTATAAATTATAATGTCTATAAAATGCTTTTATAAACATGACATCTCTTGTATATCCTAGATATGAATGTAGGAGCCACGAAAACAGTCAGAAGGAATGTAGGAGAAAACTAAAGTTTATTTATATGTTTGCTGTTACCCATTAACAGCATAACGGTGTATTCATTAATTGTAATGGGTTATCTTTCTATCTGAGCAGAAAGATAATTATCAACATATGAATCAGCAGCAAAATATTTACAGTGAAAATGAATGTCAAGGCTCTAGCATTTGTACCTGACAAGGGTACCTCACTGAAGTGCTGCTGAGACATGCTCCTTCAGGCTCTGTGTCAATGAAGCATCTGGAGAGCCAAAGGAGTGTCTGAGTGGATCTGCCCAAGGAGGAGGGAGGGACAACTGCTCAGGAATTGTGTATTTTTGTATCCTGAAGTAGTAAAAGCATGCAGAAAGTTAATGGAAAGGTCTTGCATGTCTTGTGTCAGAGAAGCCATTCTTCTGATACCATTATGTAATGATGGCATTCCAGAGAAACTGGAAGGTGAACTATTTTATTGCTTGGTCTCTCCTGTGAATGCTAAATTCTATCTTGTTTGGAACTTACTGCAGAACATTGTTCTTAACAGAACAATATTTATTTAGACTTACCTCATTATGGTTTCTGTTAGATTTATACTTAAAGCTAATTATTTTTTATAAACTAGATGGAAAAACAGGTGAAACCTCAGTTTCTCCAATGTTTTTACATGCTACACCCACACCTGTACAAAAGAGTGATTGTTACTGTTGTTGCAAGTCCTACTTACCTTTAAAGGAGAGATGCTTTATATCTGCAGCAAAAAGGCATTTCCTCTAGTGATAACATGTAAGAAGTTATTTGGAAAAGATGTTTCTGAACTGATCTTTTCTTGGGAAAGATCTGGGAGAGGACAGAATGTTAGTTCTCACCAGGTTACTTGCCTTCTCTGACACCCTGATGAGCTGTAAGCCATAGGGTTAAGAAGAAACAAAACCTCCCATATATTTGCAATGATCAGGCTAGGAAATACTTGTGTTGGAATATCTTGGAATTTTGTTTTTCAAAGGGTTTTCCTTGAAATCAAGTGAATAATTTAGTCAATGTACAGAAAAGTACTTTTGTAGTTATTCAGAAACAGTTCATATAATTTTCATTCTCTTTTTCAACCTTATGGTTTTCTGTGTGTCTCAGTAAGTGGTATAGGTTTTACATCTGGTAAAATGTTTCTAAAAGCAAACTATTAATGGCTAAGTAAAGGTGAGATTGTGTCAGGAAGAGAGGTCTTCTAAGTCCATTTAATGATCATGCCTTGTTTGTTGAATCTACTTAATGGTTCCATGTGACTTCCCTGACATCATCATAAAGCCCTGTTGAGCTTCGTTCTCCTCGCAGCAAAACCAGGGAAGTAGTGCCTATCTGCCTCACAGCTTGTGTGGGTTAGCCTTAAGTGCCATGAAAAAAGCAGTGAAGGTGCTCAATGAATGCATAGAATTATGTGCTACATACAATTTACATATGAGATCCATTGGTATCCATTTTATTGCTGGGGAAAAGCATTTGTCATGTAGTCACCTTATAAATGAACATGATCTTTACCTATGCTATATTTATTAATACTAATGTTGTTTGGTCTGATGTGTGCTACTGTATTATTTGTTCGTTGTATTTAAAATCTGGCTGTCTGGCAGGATCTCAGTGATCTCCTTTTGGCTGTTCATCATGGTGGACCCAAGTGCTTCTCTTGGAAATACACTGGTTTGTAAGGCACTTTGGAGCATTTCTGCTGGGCTGGGTAGCAGGCCAGGGACTGCAATAGTGCAGATTCAGCTCCCTCTGGCACAGCTGTGTAGTGATTGTGTCATATAAGCAAGGTGTGTGAATGGCAATACTGAATTAAGATTAGCATTGTCTGCAGCATGGGGGTTAACGTGGCCTCCTTCATCAAGGAAATAATTATTTTCACTGCTTTGAGAAAATTGCCTTAAAAAAAAATGAATCTAGTGTCCAACAGAATATATGGATGCTTGTTGTTTTTACTTTGATTAAAAATGCGTTGTGCAATGTATTAGGTGCAGTATGGTAGCCAAATTCTACTTCAAACTGTGATGTACAGTTTTAATGACAGTTCTGCAAGGACCATTCACTGTGTATTCTTTCTCTTCTTTATACAGGCAACACTTAATGAAGTATACACATTACTAATGTCCATCCTGCAGAGAAATGAGCTGTGAAAAAATTCAAGCAAACATGTTCCAACTGTTCATACAAAGGATTGCATAAGTCACACATTGTGTTTCCACAAAACTTTCCCCACAATTTGCTGCTGCTCAGCATGTACTTCACTTACTTTCCTCCAACTAAAATTTGCAAACAGACCAGATTTCCAGTGCTAACAGAGATTTGGAGCCACGTGTTCCAGGAATGGCTGGGTATGCCACACCGATACAATATAAAGGCAACGTTAATCACCTTCTCTCTCACTTTTTAATAGCTCCCTTCCATGGTTCTCATTCTCCCTCACTAGAGACTGGAGATTAAAGGAACTTTACTATATTTCAAATACAGTTTAATCAATTAAGATGGATCTCCTTCATAGCAATGGAGTGCTTATCATTCAGCATTTACAGAGAGACTACAGGGCTTACCAGGATTTCCTTAATTTTATGTCACATGTTGGAGATCCTCGGAATATATTCTCATTTTATTTTCCTCTTTGGTTTCAGCTCAACCAAGTGGTTGGTACTAAAATGATATGGGTGGCAGTCATTGGTGATTGGTTCAACCTGATATTTAAATGGTAAGAAATTGTATTTATTCTAAAATTTGCTATTTCTAACAATGGTCAGCATATGTTCCTCAAGTTTGGAAAGTGTTTTGTAGATGGTGTAGTGGTAGACTTTTCCCCATAATTTTAAAGTAAGGTTTCGCAATGAAGATTTGTAACGTAAGTTTGAAATTTTGCTAAGACAAGAACTTATAGCACTGTTAGACAACAGTTTTTGGCAGTATAGTACTTTGTGTTTGTTGTAATATTCTTTATCATGCTTTCCTGAGGTGTTCTTACATAAAAATCTTTTTATTGCATTTCTTCTTCATTTTATTTTATTTTCTGTTAGGATTTTATTTGGCCATCGTCCCTACTGGTGGGTGCATGAAACAATGATTTATCCCAATCAGTCAAGCCCATGCCTGGAACAGTTTCCTATAACATGTGAAACTGGACCAGGTAAGAAATGTTGGAGATTGCATTGAAACATTTAATACGTATGGTGGCTTTGGGGGTAAGCAGAGGATGTGACTTAAGATGATTTTGTATGATATTAAAAATATGAAGTAGCCTATGGATATGTAACTTCTAGATTATATGCTACAACCCTGGAAGGAATTCTAGTGTTCATAACAGCAAGGTAACAGAATAACAACTCAAGTTTCAGCATGAATGTTTGTTGAATTAGGCCTCTGGCTGCTCAGATTTCTTTAACTAGCTCAGGTATGCTATAACTTGATGTATATGAAAGAAATGCAGCAGTTTGGCACATTCTATATAAGCGTGTTGCTGCAGGAAAAGACATAAATATTACTTGAACTTGTTATCTAATGTTCTTTATATTGCAGTGACACTTTGGGGAAAAATAATATTGAGCAACTCATGCTGTAAAAATATGACACTTTTGTAAAGACATTAGTATTCAACTAGCATCTAAATGCTTTATTTTTTAACCACAGTCCAACTCTAAGTGATGGAAAAATGCTATGCTTTCTGATTGAGATACTGGCTCATGCTGGTATGAGATGGGTAAGCTGTTACTTGCTTGATTACTGGCAAATATAATGGATTAGATATAGATGGATCTGCTAAAAAAATTATATTGAGAAGACAAACTTGAGAAGTAATTAATTTTCTTTTTGCCTTTTTTTTCCTGAATGATTAGATGCCTGAGTAACTGCCAGTAGGCATTTTCTGTATGCCTGCTATAGTCATCATTTTTAAGCTTAAACATTTCCTTTTTGTTTTTATTAGGGAGCCCATCTGGACACGCCATGGGATCTTCCTGTGTCTGGTACGTAATGGTAACAGCAGCACTTAGCTACACAGTGAGGTGGAAAGAGAAATCAGCAGTTACTCTTCATAGGTCAGTATCTTTCCATTATAGTAACTCTTACTGATTTTTGTTATCGTTATGCTTTTAACGGACTTTTTCTAACCAAATATTCATAGTAGGTTTTATCCAGTTTGTTTAAAAAAAAAAAAAAAAACTACTGTAATTTACTTCAACTGAAGACAAAGAATATTAAGAAGAGTTATGCATTTCTATAGATTGGTATTTAATAACTTACAGACATTACATCATGATCTCTCTGAATCATGAGCCTCCTATTAAAGACTGCATCAGGTATTTAGTGTCAGAAATGTTAAATTCTATCAATTTTCTACATGTTGGGTTTTTGTTGTTGTTGTTGTTTTTTTAATACTGACTGCTTCCATGGTAGTCATTCTTACCCTGTTTGAAAGCAAACACACAGCGCTAGCTCTTCAGCTCGGTGGGGAAGCCCTGTAATGTAAACTTCGGTGTCTGAGCTTTCCAAGCTTGGCAAGGCTGTCCCTGTATTAAACCAAATTAATGTTTTGCGTTTGAATATGCCTTTATGATGCTAAAAATGTTCAAAGCAATAGTTCTAATTTAACTCGCCTTTCATCACTAAAATATGATAGTGTAACTACTGAGCACTATTCTTGCAGCCCTGGATGTGGCTGGAAGAGTAACTAACTATTCTTGCTAGTATTTTAGTACTGACTTCCAGTCTTTAATCCTATGATTCTAAATTCTCTACTTGTAAATCTCTGCTCGCTTAAAATATGAGCCTGACACAAATGCACCTGATGTAAATTATGAGATGAAATATCTGAATTCTTAAGCATCTTTCTTTTTCCTCCTAGACTGACATGGTCATTACTCTGGACTATTTTTTGGATTATCCAGATCAGCGTGTGCATCTCAAGAGTATTCATAGCAACACATTTCCCTCATCAAGTTATTCTTGGAGTATTTGCTGGTAATGTTGCTAATTTTTCTTCCCTTCACATATGCAAAATCCAAAAATTTTAAAATATGAGAAAAGGCAAGAGATTTTGAGTAGTGTGACTCAACATGCATTTGTAGTGGTACTCTCTGCAGTCTCTGGAAGATTACAGTCTAATTGTGAAATCTGCAAACTTTGTAAGGCAGTAAGTGTTTACTGTCTTTGTAATTCACAGAGGAAGTGAGCCCTTGTCCACATGCAAGTTATTGCTGACTGCATTATTCTCGAAGACACTGTAGGCTAGCACTATGTCTTTTGTACTGACTACATCTGATCTTTATCTGTGCTGCCTGCATGGAAGGTAGTAAGGAGGAAATTGCTCCTATACAGCCCTGACTTTCGTCTCAGGAGAAAGCTGTTTAGTGCAATTTGGTTCATTTTGAAAGCTGTCAAGGATTAAACTACTATGTGTGCAGTGTGGACAAACATGGGACCAGAGATCTGCGGCAAAACAGAGAAATTAGCAGTGCAAACACCCAAGAAGGATTGAAGAAGATAAACTACTATCTCAGAGTTAAGTATGTTTTGAACTGGTATTTAGTGTCTTCAAACTATGACCAGTCTCTGGTTTCTGTCTGATCCGAAGGAGGGTGACTAGAGCATGGAGCAGGGACTGCTAGTTCATACACAGAGAGGCCTATGCAGCATGGGATGACAGCTTGAGGCGGCCCAGCTGTCCCTTTCCACTACCAGGATACAAGGAATAAGAAAGAAGATAGATAGTTGCATGTCCTTTCCTTCAACAGTCACAGCCTGTGTGAGAACTGGTGTTGAAATCTGCATTGCTATGCAACATTAGTGTGTTGTTCCCTGTAACAGTGACTTTCTTATCCACAGGAATTGTTGTGGCAGAAGCATTTGAGCATACTCCTGCTATTCAGACAGCAAGCTTGAGAATGTACATCAAGACAAACTTGTTTCTTTTCATCTTTGCCCTTGGTTTTTACCTAGTCCTCAAGCTTCTTGATATTGACTTGCTGTGGTCTGTCCCAAAGGCCAAGAAGTGGTGTGCCAATCCAGACTGGATAAACATTGACACAACTCCATTTGCTGGACTGGTGAGGAATTTAGGTGCATTCTTTGGCTTAGGTATTGGTATTAATTCAGAAATGTTCATCACCAGCTGCAAGGGTAAAAACAGCTGTAAGATAAGTTTCCGTGTATTGTGCATAGCTGCTTCTTTAGCTACACTACAGCTGTATAATTTTGTTAAGATACCTACTCATACTGAGTATTTGTTCTACATTCTCTCTTTTTGTAAGAGTGCAGCTATGCCTCTGACTGTAGTCGCCTTGGTTCCATACTGTGTCCACACGTTAATGAGGACAACTGATAAGAAATGTAATTAGATAAGGTTTCCAAATGGTTGCCAGTGCAAGGATATGAACTACTCAAGAGCCCTCCACAAAGGCATGGTTAACTCATGTTAACCAAGGGGGATGCCACCGCACCTTTGATGTGCTCCTGGTAAGTAGCCTGTATATCCCAAATCAGTGCATTCAAGAATGGTTTGGCAGCTCAGAAATATAAAGTAGTTGCTGACTTTATTCCTAGAAGCATTGCAATGAAGGACGCTGCAGTATGGTTTTCTAACAATACTCTGAGTCATGCTGAAGTTTTAAAGTATTATTGGCTAGCTTTATTTAGCTACTTGGTCATCTTTTAGTTCATTGCCAACTAGATGGTGCTTTGGGCCTCAGTGGTATATAGTGGTACACAGTATTTAATTTTTTTATATGTAGATGTGTGCTAAACTGCTAGCTAATGGAGTGACAGTATTACACCACCTACAGCTGTCCCCGAGCACTGTGAAAAAGACCAATGCAGTTATCGGGAAGGATTTCTATAGGTCTATCTTCTTGTGCTTCCTGAGCTAACAGCTTCTGCTTAAGCCAGATGCAAAAAAAAAAAAAAAAAAAAAAGAAAATTTGTTCCCATTAGACTCTGTAGAATATATTGTTGCATTACTGTGATTTTTGAAATTTTTACTTTTAAAAATGATCATATAAGTCATGAATGATAATGATTACACTTTTGATGTTGAAAATACATGAATACAATGCAGTAAATATTGTTGTAGTCCTGTACGTCTACACAGAGCAACAAATGTAGAAAGTTGTCAATCACTAAACTAGCTCAGCATACTCCCTCAAGAATGTTCATGCTCCTGTACTGCAAGTGTAAATCAGTTTAATTCTGTCATTTCAAGAGTCAATGTCAGAATCAGTTATTGCTTCTGTAAATCATGCAAATGGGACTGAAGAGTAAGTTTGGCTTATGCACAGAACTAATATGCTAAATGTAAATTTATTACGTAGAACTGATGCTCTACAAATGGAAAGCCACATGCTTTCCCTTTTTCCCTTTTTGTTCATTATTTGTCACCTGTTGTTGCACATTCACTTTCACTGCCCAACCTCTAAGCAATATCATCCTTATAATACTGAGTATGCATGCAACGTAAGGCTGTAAAATGGGTAATGAGGGCTGTGTGTGATCTGATAGCAGTGCAGCTTAGAATATGTTAGCATAGTATTGCTTTGGACTTCCAGTTAGTAGTGGGATGTAAATAATCTTATTTAATTGAGAAAACAAGGCAAATTTTATTTGGACCTTGGGAGTTCACGTGATACAAATTTCAGGGACATTCTTTCTTCAAAGCCTTCTAAGACTACTTTGACATTTACAAAGTTTTTAACAGTCTGAAGAGTGCTTTGCTTTACATAACTGCCATTGTTGTCTTTAATGATTCTCTGAACTCTTCTCCCACAGCATTTGGCTTGAAACCAACCTTATCTATAATTATTTCTCTTTAAAATTTAAGCATGTATGACTAAGCTAATGGGACTGGAAACAAATAATGAAGAACTAAAAGACAGCTATGGCAAAGATTTCGCCTGCATTCAGTTTGCTCTGTGCTTGGTTATTCCCTGGTAGAATGTAACGTACAAAGCGCTGGAAGGTTGGTCTACTTGTCTTTCTGTCTGTCTATCCTGGCCAGCAGTAGGAGATGCTCTATACATAGCAATCTGGCTATTGCAGCAATGTTTGGGCCTATTGGCAATGTGAGCAGTTTTAAGAGAGGAATTATGAGTAGACAGATATCACATTTCATGCTATGTGAGATTCTGCACTTTGTGGTACTGACAAAGATTCTTGGAACCAGTATTAGCATAGACAACCATTGTGTAGAATGACAATTAACAGTACTGCAGTATTCTTTTATACGGCATACAGATGCATAAGGTGAAAACGAGCTCACTTGTCTTCTTGGAGCTTCCTATTAGTTCAGCCTGCAACCACAGTGCTTCAGGGAAAGGGACCAGCTTCCTGTCTGAACCATCTCTTTTTTTTTTTCTGAAACTACTGAAACATTACTAGAACTAAGTTTCATTTTACCAATGACTTAATAAGTTAAACTGTTGATATGGCAGTAGAATAGGCACTTTCTGAGCAGCTGTAGTGTGCTGGAGTTTTGCGCATCTACCTTAAAGAATCTCAATAGAGGGCTCCCAAAACTTCAGACTGGGTAGTTTTTTCTAGAGTGGTGGGATAAATAAATATAAGATCAATCTCGAGGTTTTGATAGAATTAGTACGTAAATCAGGAATTGGCCCTTTCACTGATACAGTAAAATAAGTCTATGTGTCCCTTAGTCAGGCTCTAGTGAATTTATCACAGTTGAAAATTACACTTCAAGCCTTCTTTAATAAGGCTGTGTGGCAATTTAACTAGGAGCTTTCAAGTTGTTAAACATTTAAAGTATAACTTCATCAGGCTTTTGTAGCTGTTTTAAGTTTCCTGTTAAGAACGAGAAAGTGCTTACCTGATTCTCTTGCTCTCAGTAATGGGGCCCCAGGAGAAAGTTAATCTTTTATTCTTGACTTAGAGATCTTCTAACTGGAATAATGCAGTGCCAAAAGCCCTTCTGCAGAAAGATCCTGAAAGCTTCTTGCTAGCCTGTAGCTGAATTATGTGAAGTAGCAGTTGTGAAGGCAAGTGTCTGTCAGTCCTCCTACAAACTAGCTCTCAAGCTGTCTTTGCATCCAATTCACAATGCTTATTTTCAACAATATGCAGCTTTTCTCTTCCTCCCTCTTTTTCCTGCCTCAAAATCCTTCTCTCTGCTCAGACATGTCACTCTGATTGCACTCTAGTCCCTTCACACAGGTACTCAAGGAATTTACAATCAACTGGTTTCAATAGCACACAGCCACAAAATGGCAGGAGGTGGCAACCAAGAATGTGCAGGAGCAACGCAACTTTTGTACACTGTGCCTTCTGTTAGCAAGTATGTCTGTATAATACATAACTCTCAATATGTACTAGTCATCAAAAAATAGTTACCTCACTGAGAAGAGCAGCTTAATTAGCAATTGTATCACCCAGATGGTCCCACGCTGTTGAGCTGCAAGGAGATAGCAGGCTCCTCTGCAGGCAAGGGTTAGCGTAGCTTCATTGGTCTTCTCAACAGTTCTGCACTGCAGAGCAGATCCTTGCCACAGGCATTAGCTAAATACATTCAAATATTTGCTGTCTGCTGCGGATACTGAAGGGTAAGAGATGCTAAAGCACAAGCCAGTAAGAAATGTCAGTCATTCTGTAGATAGCTTCAGTCCTGAGCCCCCCTACCTAATTACTGCTCTGAAACGTAAAAAGGCTATAGATAATTAAAACACAAGGTTAATAATGAGCTTCTTTGTTCATTTTCAGTTAGTGACTAAAACACAAATTTCTCTGGGACAAATAGCACTTTAAAGTCAATTATGTGGTTTCTGATGAAGGCATTCTATAAGTGGAATTGTATAAATCTTGAAATTATTTTTTGTTGCCTGGAATTAAGACATGGATCCTACTGAAGTTTTCAACCTTCCACCTTTATTTAAGTTTTAGCAGTTGTACTGTTGCACAGTTTTATAATATATAGTTTTATGGGGTGACTTGTTACAAAGTGGGGGAAATCTGCACACACATGAGCTGCAGATATCAGGATGTTGAGAATTACTTTTCCAGTTGATACTCTATCTTTCCAAATCAAGATTTAAATTTCAATATTGTAATTTGTCTCAGTATTCCCAATCACTACTCAGTAACATATTCCAGGAAAACATGCAGTAGTACTTATAAAAAAAAACTTTTCCCTCTGGCAGAGGAAGATACTTCCTGATCTCTGTTGTTCCATTTCTTAAATCTGCTTAATACAGCTAGTTAATTATGGCTGAAAATTCTTATTTTTTTTCACCCTTACCGTTTCTGTAAAAAATAATTTCCAAAGGCATTGCTGTGCCTTCTGAAAAAAAACAACACATGTTATCTGTCAATATAAATCACTTCTCAATAGAAGTGATTTAAATAACTGTGCCAATCAATTAACTGTGGGATTCTACATTGATTTATCTAAAGCATTTGTTGATATTCAAAATCTATTTGGCAGCTTCGATCAGAGCAATGTGTAGGAGAACTGAGACTTACCAGGTTATATTCCTTATCTGAGTTATTTATTTCCTTACTGTTGTGAAGCTGCCCTCTTTGTGAGCACCTACTTACTGGTTTTACTGGAAGGATACTGCTGTGTCAAGCTGAGGGCTCCATGTGTTCACTCTGTACCCAGAGGCAACCTGGCCTCTTCCAGCATCACAGCTGAAGTAGGCATAGAATAAAGTGGTGCAAAGGGTCAAGTCTTTGTACCCAGGAGGAGGGTATCTATTATAATCCTCTGTAGAGCAGAACATCAGGAGGAATTTGAACCCTTCAGTAATACACCTTTGTGCTTGGGATTGTTTTTTAATTCATACAGCTTACCTCAAGAAGTGGCAGTTTCCAGAACATCAGAATGGAGTCTTCCTTGATTGCTAATTAAGGGAGAGACAGGACTGTGCAGTCTAACTGCAGACGGTGGCAATTTCCCAGCTCACCAGTGAACATCTTCCTATTCTCAGGCTTTCTCTCCCTTTGCAGTTGGCTGAAAACTATTTCCTGAATGCATTAGCCTATGGTTAGTCCCCTCCATGTGCCTGATCAACTGCTTAACCAGAAAGCTACATAGATTTAAGTTACTGCATAACTCACGGTAATGTAGAGCACTTTCTAGCACAGAGGGGTACCAACATACACATACCTACTGCAAAGTATTTGTTCAGATAAACAGTCTTTGAAATGCAGTATCACAGTAATTCAGCTAATTGGGGCTCCAGTGGTAACAAGCTTATAGTATGCTCCTTCCATTGCCATTAGTTCATCATGAGTGCCCCTTTCAATGATGATTCCTTGTGACATCACAGCAATGATGTCTGCATTCTCAATTGTGGACAGGCGGTGGGCAATGACGATGCAGGTGCGCCCTTCTCTGGCCTTATCCAGTGCTGCTTGCACAGTCTAAAAACAACAAAGAAAGCATCAGAGTGAAAATGGGCAAATCAAATTGGGGCTCAGAGCTGGAGAGATCTGATCGCTTCAGACTAATTAACTATATTGTACAATATTTGTACAAAAAAGGGAAAGATAAAAATACAGTAAGAATCAAACTGTAAGAAAAGTCTTTTTTTCAGCTGACATGCTCAGCTTGGATGTGCTTCTAAATTTCTACCATTTCTCTAATATTCAAGTGTGACCAAGCCAAGGAATTTATTGCCTGGCTCTCAGGCCCTGCACTGCTGTTTTTATTGGATATTCAGACTCATCATGTGTATGCCTGAATACACTTCTGTTGTGGTTTAGTTTGTTTTTATGTGCAAAAGCTGTATTTATGAAAGATTCCCACTGAATGCTGTGAAACCCAGAGAATTAGTGTGCACAGTAGACAGAAAGTACTGCTTCTTAATGACAGTTCAAGAGTCTCTGTAGCTGGCTATTGACTTTATAGCGATACTTCCTGGATCTTTCAAAAAGATCATTACAAGTGTAACATGTGAATTAGCAGCGGTGAATAATGCTGTGGTCATATGATCTTTGTACAGCAGGATGTCTCCGCAGATCAGAAGGCGGCACTGTACTTTGTAAGCCATTGCATTAATTTTCCCTTATTTCTTACCACTGCAAACTTACCTTTTCACTTTCTGTGTCTAAGGCAGATGTAGCTTCATCCAATAATAAAATTTTAGGATCTCGTATGATGGCCCTCGCTATAGCAATACGTTGTTTTTGCCCACGAGACAGTTGAGATCCTTGAGCACCAACATTAGTTTCGTATTTCTGAAAAATATGCAAAAGGAAGATCTTTATCTAGCTGTAAACAAACAAGTACACAAGCTGAAGGAGCAGCAAAAGGAGAGAGGCCAGAGTTCTGACCATTGCTGTCTCCTTAAAGAATCTGGGAAGACAGAAATACTTCGACAGCAATACAGATGTTCAGGGAGATATCTTTGAGCCATGCTTTGTAGTATGGTAACAGGGCTGAAAAATTTGATGGCAAGATGATGACTGATTTTTGTGAAGCAAAAGAAATCCCTGACCTAGATATGGGAGAAGAGGCTAAAAGTGACTGTAGGGCTCACTGAACGAGAGCTTTGTTTGCGTGCATATCTTTCATGTTCTTATGATTTATGTCTGTATGATTTCAGTGCGCATAAGCAGCCAGCTTCAAGTGTTTTGACCAAGGTATTGTACCCTAATTGCAGGGTACATTCCCACAGCTGAGAACAGGATCTGTGTTTCCTGTATAATGCTTTGACTGCTGAACTAGACTTCCTCTTTTTTCTTGTCAATTGCTTTGAAAATCTTCCCTTTTCTCCTAATTTAGAATCACATTATTTTTAGTCTCAGAAATGTTTGCCTACTGTGTAAGAGAACAGAACATCACACACCCAAGCTCTCGGAAACAGAGAGTGGTCTTTTCTCCTACCATTCTAGTTGTAAAAAGACATAAAATATTCACTGCAGCAATTTTAACTGGTTTTGGTGCAACTCTCTGCAATGACCAGCTGAACAGTGTGTCCCGCAGCCAAGCCTCAGGTGTACTTACTTCAGGAAGTGACATGACAAAATCATGCAGCTGAGCCTTCTTGGCTGCTTCTATGACTTTTTCCATTGTCGTGTCCTTGGTGTTACTGCCATACTTAATGTTGTCAGCAATGCTGCAGTCGAATAGCACGGGTTCCTGAGACACTACTCCAATTTTCGATCTGAGAAACTGTACATTTACTTTCTTGGTGTCATGTCCATCTATTAACTACCAGGAAATAGGAGAAAACATAAAACATCATTCCAAAATGACCTGTAAAGCCAGTTAGTTTATAGCATAAGTAAATTATTTGTTAATACTACAAGCAAGACTGACATGAGGTAATTTGAAGTATCTCTTACATTTGACCTCTTTATACATGATGAATACTTTCCAGCTGTGTCTGTGATCCAGCCAAACTCTATACCATCTGCTTACTCTTAACTCCAACTGAACTTTGACTGCCTCATGTTAGGCACATGTCGGGGTTGGACTCGATGATCTCCAGAGGTCCCTTCCAACCCCTACGATTCTGTGATTCTGTGTGTGTTTTGTTGCCTTGCCAGGCTTAATGATCACCACCCCTTATTTTTATCAAAGGATGAGATACTGGACTGGATGATTAAGTTTTTACGAGGAAGAGTTATAAAAGCTAGATAACTATAATCAGCAAAGAAGCTGCATGTTGAAACTATATATTAGTTGTGATGTTCCAGATTCCATTGCTTCAGCCAAGCTTGATTCTTGTTTGTGTTCCCACAACATCAGCCACACATTGTATGATTCATACAGGAGTTACCAACATGATTTCCTGAGGCCTTTATAATGCAGGCTGCACACAAGGTGAGCAGTGTTCTTATTTTGCCTCAGTACATCTGAGATGATACCCAGAGTTTTAACAGACCTCCTTTGAAAAGGAGCTGAAAACCCAAGCTGCCTGTGTAGAGACACACTGGTAGGTTCCACGTTTGGACACAGTCAGAAGAGTCCATATAGCATTGCTGAAGACAACAGTACACAAATAATGTTTTCTTTGCTTACCACACTTCCTTTCTCAGGATCATAGAAACGCTCCAGAAGCTGGACACTGGTGCTCTTACCACAGCCGCTACTGCCAACAAATGCCAATGTCTGTCCAGGCTTAACAGCTACAGACAGTCCTTTCAGGACCTGAATATCGGGCCGCGAGGGGTATGTGAATTTACAGTTAAGAAATTCAATGCTCCCCTTAAAATCATCCTAGTGAAAAAATGAAAAACACTGCAATGAGCTCAAGCTTAAAACTGAGTCATAAAGTAGAAAACAACTCCTACTCAAATTCATTTCTTGCATCTGTTATTTAAAATGTTATATTAGTGCTTGTGAAATTAGCGTAGAAAGAGGCATTATAAACTTACTGTCACAGCTGTTCTACAAGGTGAAGTCATTAGTCATTAAACTGAAACTCTACTGACACATCCCTGTACTACACCGGCCAGAAGCAACAACTGAAGTGGGATTACCTTGCCTACTGGTAAGTTATTTATTTTAATACAGATACTGCATAAGTACAAATTTGCTGACTGTATAAAGATATTTGTGTGAAAAGTTTTTGTTTTTGTTTTAAATCTACTAAGCTTTGCAATGTTAAAACAATATGTGAATTCTGGTCAATTTAATGTATTTGGGACAAATACTTCAAGAATTCCTTTAAAGCTGGAAAAAAGCTAAATGAAAAATACATATTTTTAATTTGCTAGGTCTGAGTTTTCCACTGACCAACAAGAAAACATTTTCATTTTGTCCCATTCCATCTGAACTGAAAAAAAAAAAACCATTACAAGATGGCTGTAATAGCTATCAGAAAGCAAAAGCACGCTATTTGGTGAATCATTCAAATTACTGCTACTGCAATCCACAGGAGTTTTACATAAATTCCTGAGAATCATAGCAGTGAGCTCTTGCTGCCTAGTACAGAGCTCACTGCTTCCAAAAGAGCAGATGTATCAATTATATGGATAGAAGAACCTTACTGTAAAGTAGTGATCCTCAGTGTTTTTTAAATTGTTACTGCAATTTCAGTGCTTATTTTGAGCTGAGTGACATCTCATACCACTCATCTATCTCCACACTTACCCATTTTTCTCCTTTTTTGCTGTAAACACTGATTTTAGGAAGCCGATCGATGAGTTGAAACAAACGTGCAGCAGATGTTTTGGCTTTGGCATAGTTCGGGGTGTAGGAAGAAGCTCTTCCCAAAGCAGTCCCACTGGTCACAATTGCAGAGATCACTCTGCAGGAAAAGTGGACGTGATTACTCTTGGGCAGCCATCAGGAAACTGTACGCTCTGCCCAGACCAGCACCTCTGGAGAGGAGCCTGTGCCTGGCCTCATGCAGGCTCTTACCTGAACACAAAGCTGTAATGGAGCCCTTCAGTTTGAACCAGAAACCCTCCATATCTGTAAGAGACGGAGTTGGCTATGAACACTATGCTCTGGGCGAAGCCAAAGCAGATTCCATAAACATTTGCTTTTTTGATTGCAGCTCTGTACGGCATATCCAGGTTTTTCTCAAAAGCATCAATAAACTTTTTTTCTTTTCCTATCCCAGCCACAGTTCTGATGTTAGAGAGGGCTTCACTGGAAATCTGGAGGAGAGAAAAAAAAAAAAAAGTAAAATGCTTATCCCTGCTTATCTCAAGTAATTTTATTCGGAAATTGGTTTAACAATGCTGTTGTTTGCCTGGAGTTGAGTAGTAGTTTCATGGCACAACATTTCCTGCGTTTTCAGCACACATTTTTTTTATCAAATAGAAAGAGATCTCAATATATAAACCATTATAAAGTATGCCATTCAATTTCAGGTATTTCTTCTGGTCAAAATTAAGGGTCACATCTGTTGCATTATCACACAACTTGAAGCAGAAAATAATTAGGTACAGTGCATTTGTCCAGACTGTTTTTCCATGTTTTACATGGCTGTGGAACAGTCACAGTGGAGGAACTTTATATTTGGATGCAATGCTGGGAAATAAATTAGAAAATAGCACCAGATATAATCAGTCATTGCCAAAACAGCTGAAGCGTTGAATGCCCTTTTCCATCCCAGACTCTGAGTTGTTCTATTGAATAAAAGCTTAAAGCTTGACTCAGTAGTAAAGTTTCTCTGTTTAAATCCCCAAATCAGTTCCAATATAACATTTTATTACTTTTTGTAATTAAGCCATTCTGAATGAGAAACACTGGTCCTGCCATAATTCTTCCTTGGTTTTCTAGAACTGATGACAGTTCCTAACAGCCCTCACAAGAGGACCACATGTGAACCCTGTGAGCGTTTATTCATTTTTTTTTTAATTCTGGAATTCTAAGGGACACCCTGAACTACTTGCAGAGCTGAACAGGGCAAGGGCCCCATCCATCCATTTGCTGCACAGATTAGGGACAAGAGGAGGCTGAAGACACATCTCTGAGAGCTCAGCTGGGTAGGGAGATTCAGGTGGGGCAGGGTGGGAGGTGGGCTGGGTAAGACATTTGGTGGTCAGAATTTGAATGGAGGAATGGGGAGAGTTGGCAGGTGTGAGAGATCTGCAAGAATCATTTCTAGATAGGGTAAAGAATTGTCTGGGAGCTCCATGGAAGGAGCTCTGAGGCTTTGGGAGAGCTTATAAAGCACACTTTTGATGCTAGAAATATGAGAGCCTAATGAGTGGGGAGAAAGCTAATGTATTACTCAGAGAGCTAATATCTGACAGTCTTCCTCATGTTGCTTGTCCTCTAAATCTGTGTTTCTGATACAGTTCAGTTTCTGCACTGTTGAACTAGGATAAATGTATTTAAGAAGGATCAGATTCTGGGCGACGTGCCAGAACTTACTGACTCAGAACTAAAGTCAAAGGAATTTGTATGTTTCAAGTCAACAGAGCAGCCCACTGCTCTCTGTGGTTAGGAGTGAACTCTGTGAGAAAATGATGGTCCTTTACCTTGCATACTCACCCTGTCCTTGTTTGGTACATGGGCTAGGAGCCTACTCAGCCAGTGCAAAATTAAATAAACCTATTCTCAACCTAGGACATGGGGCAGTCATCAGGGCCTTGCAGCTAACAGGGCGTGGGATGCTGCTAACTGGTACTGGCATTAGAGCAACAGACAGGAGAGCTTTAGCCAGGGATCAGCATATGGGCATTTACATAAAACCTGACAAAAGTGGAACAGACAAATGAGAGAGTTGTGTCTACTATCCAATAACATTTGAAAAGTCATGTCCTGTAAGTGCTTTTGAGATTAGAGAGTTCCCAGTGGTATTTCAATAGTTCTACAAGCTAAAACATAGCAACTTATTTGCAAAAAGTTGCCAGTTTCAGTGCATTTGAATTACAGATAGTCTCAAATGTCTGGTTTTCAACTGCCCACTACTGCAAATATAAATTAGTTTTTCAGTAATGTTACCTGTCCAGTAGCTTCCAGAGCTTTCTTGTCCTGAGCAGCAAATCCTGTCAACATTTTAGCTTGCACAGCTCCAGACAGGGCCAAAAATGGCAGGAAACACATTATGACCAAACTCAGTTTCCAGCTGAAGTAGAAAGCAATAATGATGGCCACCCCAATGTTGGTGAAGGAGTTGACGATCATTCCTATCTGCGATCCAGTTGCCTTCAAAGAAAAGAAAAGGAGATGGCAGACTTGTACTCCAATTGTAATTTCAATTATTTTTAAATGTTTTTTCCTATAAAAGCTTAGAAAACTCTGAATGATATTAAAATACTGTAAGGCATCACTGGCTGCACTGGAATTTAGCCAGTTCAGACATAGCCAATTCAAGCCTCCTATGAATTGTACTAACAAGACCGCGAATCTCTAGCATTCTTCTCATCCACCAAAGTTTCCAATAAGAAGTGAGAAAATGTTTTCTGATGATTGTGAGAAAGATAATGTATTGAAGTAAGTCCCCTTGGTTCCTTGGGGAATCGCTCATCTAAATACTCTTTTCAGCCTCCACCATTTATACATCTAGAATTAAATAATAAGCAGAACCTTTTGTAACTTAAATATTAACACAAGGAAGTCTTAACTGCATTTAAATCACTAAGAAACATCTCTGAGGAAGGATGAGTTCTGCCTATTGAGTAAAATATTTAAATATGCTTTGACATATTGTTAGTGCATTCATCTTTGCCTTATGTACTTTAAGAACACTGTTTTTTTTGTAATGTGATTTATTTACTCAAAAGGTTTTTTCTTTCAGAGGAATAAACAACAGCACTACATTGCAGTGATGCTGCAATATATTAGAAAAAAAATACTTATTTTATAACCTTGATCATTTTAATCAAATTCACGTGCAGGATGTGAACTTCCGGTTCATAATCCACTCCTGTTTCAACCTGGACCGTAGCGTCTTAGACCTGCCCACAGCAGATCATCATCTCCCAGTCATAAGGCTGCTCTTATCTGGATCCTGCAGCTTCAACTGCCCAGCCCCGCCCTAAGAGCATCCCTCTCACTCCTGGTTCTGTTGCAGACCCTTTCAGACTCCAGACACTTGCCTGCATCTTCTCACTGCAGCTCCATCTGCAACAGCAGCAGTGGACTACACTCTGTGTCAGGTACCAGCGAGAGGCAGAGGACACTGATAACCAAGTATCTCCCTTTCTTCCCTTGGAGCTGTGGACTGGACAGCTTTGCGCCCCACTGCTCTGCATGTGTTAGAACTTAAAGTTCCTTTAGGATGCTATCCTATAGTTCAGTCAGCAGTGCTTAATAAATCTGCTTATTTCAATTAAAATGTGCCCTGTAAGAGGCTGTACAAACTAAAGGGGTTTGCAGCTGCTGCTTCTGATTCTCTGGAAACTCCTGCTGACAGTCTTCTCTCATTCATCTTTAAATTCTTGGAACTTCCAGAAATAGTAGTTTTTAAAAACTAATACATTATCTTCAGTCAAGATGAATTGGAACAATTACTTGTAATAGAAACATCTGTATGTTTCCTTCTTTTTTTCTAGAAAACTACTTGCTTTGGAACCAAATGAACCAAATGTTCACTTCTAACAAAGCATCCATTCAGTGAAGTATGCTAATAATTCAGCATAATTTAATCCTCATCCCTTAAGGAATGCAGCACGTGGGATGAGTGGGTCCCTTTCCCAAATAAGAACTCACACTGAAACTGGCTGCCTGGATCCCCAGCTGGTGCACCAGCCAGTCCTGTCAGTTGGTTCTTTATGTGGGCTGTCACTTTAAATCAAAGCGGCAAGGAACAGCTTTGATACAGAATGAACAGTATCATCATATCAACAAGACTGGTGAACCTTGTGACAATACTAGCTTGACATGCTTTCGAAATAAACACATAAGCACTGTGGCAAAGAGCTAACTCATCTTCAGAAGGAAAACAAAGAATTAAAGCTCCTTGATGCTAATTCCTATTTCATCGATGGTTGATATTAATTCAATTTATTTTTGTGTTCCTGTTCAGGTAATATAGACACCAATAGTGGTCAATGGACTGTGATCCTAATTATGCCTTTAGGTAAATACAGTGGTAATAGTTCCAAGTTCACAGTCTATGATAAACGGCAAAAGCTTAATTGACTGATCAAGGACTGGCCTACATTGACTTTGCTGTTCTCATGCTCATTAATTTCTGTGATGATGTGTCAAAATAGGCCTTCAATCTGTGCTTACATTAAAAGAATTATTAAGGTCTTACCCCTTGGACCTGTGATGCATCTGTTGCAAGCCTCGTAGTCAGTGCCCCGGGGCTGTTCCTCCGGTCATCAAACCAGCCGATGTCTTGCCCTAGCATAGCCTGGAAACCAATTTTCCTTAACCGTCTTGTAAGCAGCTCTCCAGACTTGGCAAAGTTGTATCCCTGGAGCACAAACAATAAATGAAAGGATTGTACAGAAAGAGATACACACAGAAAATGGGATCAGAAACAAAATTTACTTACATTGCACTGTTATTACCTGTAAAAACTGTGTAAAAAATGAAATGACTCCAACCAAGACAAACAGCAGGCAGACACCATTGATCTGGACTTTTTGTTCTTCTTCATCAAGAATGGAGAAGGTCTTCAGGGGAAAAGAAAGAAAGAAAAAAAAAAGGATAACAATATTAGAGGAGCCTGTTTTTATAAGACCACTACCAGAGGAAGTTACAAGCTGAGCCCAAGGGAAAGGACCGCATTTGGTCTTACTGGCACAAGGACAAGTTCTGGTGACCTAGGAACTTACTGCTCTCCTCTGAGTGCTGGCAAGGAGAGGGGACAAAAGGCAGGCTTATTCTGCTGCCTTTGGGCAGACGTGTGTTCCTAGGAGGATAAACATCTGTATGTTCATTGCTGTTCCAGAATCATTTGTTCATGACTCTACCTCTCCCCCAAGAATCACAGTTACCACGCAGGGCTCTCCCTCACCCCTCACAAATGCCAACTTCCATATTTCTCTAGGCTACACGTGGGTACAGAATATTGATTTTTTTTACTCCTCTTAAACAAGTTTGTTACAGTCTCTGTCTGCATATACTGATTACTTTCTGTCCATGCATAGTTATAATTAATCACACACACACCAAAGGTCAGTAACCAGAAGGGCAATAACATTAATGTCATAGAGACAAAGCAACTGCAGCAACCTTACTGAGCCATGCGAAGTACTCATACGTAATTACACCTAAGGATGACTCCTTGCATAACACCAATCGATGCCACAATTGCTCTAGGTAGCCCATGTCTTTTACTGGAGGAGCATGGATACAAAGTATTTGCTCAATGATGGCTACTTGAGGAAGAGCTTTAGAACTTGAAGCAGAGCCCCTCCATCCTCATCCACTCCAATCTCCATTATATTTTCCTTTTATCCATTGTTTTTTATATCTCATCTTTTCCACCAACTGCTGGTGTTACTGGCTGAAGCAGTGGAACACATCTAAGAAGCCATCTTTAGCAATTACTTTCCTTCACAGCAGTTGATATTTATGTCAGTTAACCTACCTGAACTGCTGAACTGCTTATGCTACTTGCAGGGATAAGCCACAGCTCATGGCTGTTACTTCTCCCACTAATGTTAAATTCATTCTAATTAGATTTCTCTCTTGCTAAAAATTGCTTAATCTCTCACCTTCTCAGCCTATCACCTGTGCAGCGAGAAAAGCCATGCACTGAAGTACATGCCTATGCTCACCCTAAACTGAGAGTGCTTAATTGTCCTACAATTAAGCAGCTACAGTGGTTGGAAAGAGATCTCTGTACTGCAAACAGTTCAAACGTATTTCCAATTGAATTTCACTGGAAAATGATTAATTTCCCATCCTTGGACAGTTTCACAATGAGAACCATAGAACAGTTGAGATGAAACAACTGAATAAAGTGTTCCCAGGTAAGTTTCTGATTTGAACAGAACAACTAAAGTGGTATATCCAGTATTATCTAGCTCTTCACTGACTTCTTAGGACTAATTTTTTAGCACCTTCAAGGCAGACTTTGCTAAATTCACTCTTTCATTCTGTAGTTGTAGGGACTTTTCCCGTTGTTTCTCTAGTGTATTATTCCCACAGAATGAGCCCACATATCTGTCTCAACATCACTGCAGACAGTTTGGAAGGCAGATGCCTGTTCCATCTGTCTGCCTTCCTTGGCAGAAATTCTTAAATTTATGAATAACAAAACACAGATATTGGACTTTGCTTGTGCTGGATATGGCTTGTTTTTTTTTTTTTCTTGCAATCTCTTTTCATGAACTCACACATTCAAGAGAAGGAATTCATCCACAGTAAAGGAATTCAGCATCCTGTAGGATGACTTCAGGTCTTGACCTCCCAGTGTTAGGAAAACCCAACTCTCAAAAAGAATCAAAAGTTAGACTGATTGCAGACTATGCAAAGCAGTGCTCCCCTGCTCTCTAGTGAACCTTAATGGATCACCAGGGACAGGAACATCTCCTGCTCTGCCCCTTCCTGGCAAGGGTAGACCTGCCAAACCAACAGCAAAAGGTCATTCATTTTTTCCATAGACTGTTGGCATGTTAGGAGCATTTTCTCAGCCCTTTTCTAATCAACAGCTCAGAAGCTGGAACATTCATTCACTTCTTTCCTGCTTGAAAACATTTAATCCTCTAGTCCCTAGGTGTGTTTCTACCCTTTGTATCATACATTCTTTGCACCCAAAGGTACCTAATGTGACCTAGATGAACAAGTGGGGATTACAACACAAGTTTTACCCTATCTCAGATTATTACCTAAACCCCCAAACTATATTAGTATTCCCATTTTCTTCCCAGTGAACATGTCACTACCTTACCCAGTAAGAAACAGCATAAATCCTCCCGATTCTTGAAAGTTTAGGGCACTTATCTGGGCACCAGTTAAAGCAGTGCTGAATTTCCTCAGGCAGCCCTCCAGTTTCCAACTAACTTGACAAAGGTTTTCCCAAAAGAACTATTTTCACAAAAGGAGCAAGCATTCCAACAAGTTTTTGAAAGAAAAGTCACAGTTTAACTCCTAAAAAGTTTCAAGTGAGACTGTAGATCATGATGGTAATGCATCCCTTAGCAGATGACAAGGTTTAAAACACATTCCTGTTTCCTGCTTGTCTTTCAAACTTGTTGATAGAAGTCTGCTTTCTGCTGGCAGGTATGCAATCTGTTACAACAATTTACCTTTCCCTGCAGGGAAAGAGTTCTGCAGGGAAAACGCAGCAAAGAGCTGGATGTTCCAGAAATGAAATATGTGAAGAAAAATGTGAGGTATTTTTTGGGTTTGATCCAGAGCTTTCCTAAAAGCCTGGCCAAGACTCTAGAATAAAATTCTGCATGGAGGGACCTCTGCACATTTCCCTCCTCACTGTATCTGGATCTGAGATATATCTTGTAACCTGCTGCCAACAGTTCCTGGAAAGCAAGGAAGACAGATGATGAAGCACACATGACAAACACTAATAAACCTGCCCCTTCAAGAGAAAGCCCAAATAATAACAGAATGGCAGTTACATATCTCTACCAAATAACTTTTCATAGATAAGGAGGCTAACTCCCTTTACTTGACAGGACCTAAAGATTTGCCCCAAACATGCCAAGTATTGTGCTGCAGAGTCCTATGCTCCCTTCTGCTTAAGCACTCTAATACACTTTTAGTTGTCAGCTTAACATACCCCAAGAATCTGACTGAATAACAAAGCATAGAGTGGACTGAGCGCTCCATTCACAGCTGCTCCCAGAGATCCTATCACCATGTATGGCCATTCAGAGGCATTATACTTCAAAATCCTGGCAAATGGGACAGGTTTGACATCTTCCTCCTCCTCAGCAGATTCCTGAAAAAAAGATTGGATTTATGAAATAAATGCATTATCCTGGTGATGCTCTCTGTATGGCAGTGAGATACAGTAATTAGCCTGGTCTGCTAAATGGCTGTCTCTAGTACTCAAATAGCTGCTCTAGCATTATATGGGAAGGGCAATGATGGGCCTTGGCTGCTGACTGGAGCTCTTTCGCAGGGCTAGGTATGCCCTGTTCAGCTCAACTGATTCCAAATTAAGAGGTTAATTATGAGCAGACTTTCTGCTACTGAAACTCAGACTGTTCCCATTTTGCTGCTTCCAGATGATGTATGATGTAATACTCAGTATCAAAACTTAAGCTTTTTCCTCACAAGGGGCTTTTCATCTCTCCTGGAATGTTCTTAAATATTATTTTTAAGCATTATGGGTGAACACACTGATCAGGCTCTGCATCAAATTAGTAGGTATGCAATATAACTAGAACAAAGGAGACCTCGGACAGATATCTAGAGTCAAGTTTCATTCATGCTAATTATGCCTCCCTTTTGTGAAACATCCTCAGGCTACAGACAGAATTCCCATAATTACTCCCAATAAGAGCAGAACATTCATCATCAAATTACAACTTACCCTGCAGTTTGATTGTGCAGTTTTTCTGTAAGACTCAGTGTGCTCATCTCTCCCTCAGTTCATATGGCTGGAAATGCCCAGACAAAACTGACCCTGTAAAGACCTATCTGCTGGAAATGCGCGAGGATGAATGAGTGGGAACATTTTGTTTTTCTCTTCCTTCAAAGCTAGTGCCAGAGTGACAGCACTGAAGCCCTTTATTTAGCCACGGAAAAGGCCCAACAATAGCAATAACAGTGACTTCAAACTGCTGCTTTCTGCACTAAACAACTGTAGCCCTGCAAATTGGTGCAGGGGGTTTCATAAGCACTTCAGAAACTCACTGTGTGTATTCCTAAAGAACTGCTTCTATTCTACGTAACTTTAATGCATGCCATCTTTATTTTCTATGCCACTTGACGGCACAAGGCACTGCCACTGAATGAATTCTGGGCAAGATTGCAATGAGGGTTTCTTGCAACTCACATGCTTCCAAATGATTTTGAGAGGAAAAGCAACTCACTATATTAAACAAGCAGCAGCATTTCTATTGCTAAGTGGCTATTACACTTCACTGATAACATTTTGCTTTTTGCTGGTTAAGTCAGCTTTTTTGAATAAATCTTTTTCAACTTAATCTATAGCACATATAACAATTTACAAGAGCTCCTAGTCTGCAAGAAATTTTATCTGGACCAATCAACCTAAGGACCATCAAAATGCAGCCTGGGGGATACAGAGGATAAGATCCGAAGCTATGGCTTTGTTTAAGAAAGAATCAATCCAAAAAGTCATATCTGCCTGTAACAGAGGCACATATCTGTAGGTTCTCATTATCAAGTAATATAAAAGATATCCCTTTTGGTTGCAATTTAATAATAAGTATTAGGCTTGACCTTTTTTGCTTGTCCATCATCTTCCTCATAAGACTTAAGATACACAGACTCTGGCTGATCTCCTACAATGGATAATGGAGGGTCAGGAACCACATTAGAGAGCTGAGATCTAGACCGCTGCCGAAGTGAAGCTCTGTGAAAGAGGACAAATATGGTCAGTTATTCACAGCTCAGTAACATGATATTTGCTTTCAAAGCAAATGTAGTTTTCATAACAACTACATCGGGATTCACTGACGCAAATTACGGGAATCCCACTGACTTTCTTTTTATTCCATGCTGTCTCAACATTTGAGATGAAACTATCTCAGTGGGAATAAATACTATTCAAAATCTTACTCTACTCAGACACTGTCTTATACGTGACCTTCACTGTCCAAGACCACGCTATATCCTACTCTGTTTGCAAAAGCTGTTAAGACACCAAGCCATTTCACCATTATTACTATCAAGTAATGCAGTCCAGAAACAATCCACTACTCCCTGATGAAACATGACCCAGCAAGGTAGGAGATGTATTCACTTGAATGTCTAACACAAGCTTGCCTGAAAGAAGTAATTAACATCTAGGTACAAGATAGTCTGGCTTGCAAAATGCTTTCATTTTTACCAAGAAAAAGCCATAATATAAATGTCCTCATATGTTGCATTGATTTTTCAAGTAATTACACAGCAAGTTTTTGGGTTTTTTTTTCCTCAAGTGAACTGACTGAAAGCGCGTTAGGTAAACTAAATACATGGCTGCATGATTGTAATATTAAAAATGGAACATCGACACAGAAAGCCAAAACTGACAAGGGAAAGGTACTTTGTCTAGAAAGAAGAATAAAAAAAGTCTATTTATCCATGGGCTTTCAATCATTAACAGATTACCCAAGCCCTTTCTTTCCAAGTTGACTTTGTCTTAGTAAAATGACTGCAGCCCTTCCACCCCTTATTAACCAACATGCAACCCAGCAAATAATCACTGCTAATGGAATTTTTGAACGGTGGGAAAAATATAGACAGATCTGAAAACATACTGAGACTTAGTGACTTTTAAGACTCACCGCAAACTGGCACGATAGCTTCCTCTTCTGAATGACTGGACTTTCTCAAGACTTGGCTCAACCACTTTATTTTCTGCTGCTTTAGAATACAGTACATATAGTTCTTCAGTTTGTGCTAAATTTGCATACAGCCTAACTCCTATTTTAAAAGTGCAATCTCCAAATCGTAACTGAAATACTTTGTAGAAAGTGAGGAATATAATACAATGTTGATGGTCAACCTGTATATACCGTAAGTTTTATATCTGCAGTTATATCTCATGAAGATAATTAAATATTGGGCTGTTTCACTTGAGTTGTGACTCCTGAAGGTTGTTGCCCTATTTTGGTACTACAATTGCTCTCTTCTTTTAAGACAATCATCACCAAGATATGATGTTTGCAGAATCAAAACAAGTCATTCTCTTAGAGCTTCATTTCCAAAAGCTTTGATTCAAATTTGCTTCCAGTAAAATAAATAGAGTGATTTCAGCATAGTCTGTAATTTTCTTGCATTTCAAATGTAGCATGATTGGACTGTCAGCACAAAATCAAGATATAAAATGGCAGGGTATTGCAGGTCAGGCTTATTGTTTCAGGGCAGATCTGTATCAGGAAGGTAATTCAGTGCACATGCCTTAAAAATTTTGGATAGAGCTATCAATGTATTACTTGACGAATGCTAAACTTCAGCCATAAAAATATCCAGGGAGAGTGGGAAAAGCAATTAGGTACTATGAAAAAATAACAGTAATCTACGTTCTCTGGAATTGTATATAGTTTTATATAGTTTCATAACAGAAAGCAAGACACTTACATTCTGTTGCTGCTCTACTAAGTGCTGTCTCTCCTTTGCTTTGCAAGGTCACCAACATGAAATAAACCCCTTTTCTCTTCAAGAGTTCTTCATGAGTTCCTCTCTCCACAGCCCTTCCATGCTCAAACCCAATGATGACATCAGCAGCTTTGACAGCAGATAGGCGGTGAGCTATTGAGATTGCTGTGCGGCCAAGGTGAGCCTAACAGGGAACAAAACCAGCCCCAGTGCCAGGAGAGCAAAGGGAAACCAATTGGAATGAATGCTATATAAACTAAAGTTTCTCCAAACCAAAAGGAGTCTTTCAAGTGGTTTTAACTGACTCTGACTTGAATTCCATCCACAGTCCATGTATTACCCACAGAAAAGGAGAGAAACTCAGACATCTGCAAAGTCCACAGCTTACAGCGGGCATCTGTGCTGCAAAAATTTACTTGTAATCAGACAAGTGTTGCACACAACAGAGAAAAGCGTCCTTCTTGACAGGGCTGTACCTGGCAAAATTTTGACAGTCCTTAGCATCTTATTACTTACTGCATGCCAAAACCCATAAGGGGTTTATTGTTGGACCAAGAAAACATGGACCAGATCGTAATTTACACTGAACAAGATGGAGCCTAGACAATCTCCCAGGACAAGCAGCTTCTCTGGACAATGGGAACTTCTGATCCCTGCCAATGTCCCATTGTAACGTCTCAATGCCTTGTTAATAATGCAAAAATTCTAGTGCTGCATATAAAAGCTATTCTTAAAAGCTTTTCACTACATTGTCAAAATTTATCAGCACTGTCTGCAAAGGGCATTCAAAATATTTTCTCCTCTTATAAATATGATTTATGCTATAATATAGCAAACCTTTTGAAGTGCTTCCTGGACAATTGCTTCACTTTCATTATCAAGTGCTGAAGTAGCCATATCCAGTAGCAGGATTTTAGGGTTTCTCACAAGGGCTCGAGCAATAGCTATCCTCTGCTTTTGACCTCCGCTCATCTGACTTCCACCCTCTCCAACATGAGTGTCAAATTGCTGGGAAAAGAAAAAGAAAAAAAAGCATAACAAAGTCTTCTATTAAGAATCAACATAAACACTGTCAGACTTGTCCTGAGAGAAAATATAAACATATTTCATTTTTGAAACAGAAAAAATCTCACTAGTATATCAGACAAACACAAAATAACATTCTTCATAATGACTAATATTGTTTTGCCTGAACTGGGGTACCAACCCCAAACTGAAAGCATGTACTGATAAAAAAGTAAAATGTTCTGGTTGGACTCAGAACAACTATATCAGCAAGAGCTGCAATGGAGAGGAAACATGTGCCCATTCTCCATCAGATGACTCACATCAAACTTGCCACAAAGCTGGACATGTCTGCTGATGGCACGTGAATCAAGAACACTGCGTCTCTGATCAAGAACACTGTGTCTCTGATCATGATCATACACTAATAGTACCAGGCTCAGCTAGAGTATTAGATGAACACACAGCCCAAGATCAAGAGAGCCAGTATAACTGTATAATCACGCAGTATATTATATTTATTAACTTGGTGAAATCCATGTAGTAAGACCTAATTAACTCTCACCAGAGAGCAGGTTGCTGCCTACTCTCCCTTTTAATGCGCCTTTCACAGGTGGTTGTATGAGGGGAAGGAGAAAGGATTCTTCTATTTTACGTCAAGTTTTACTTTCAAGGCACAGTATACCTGTGGCAAGTCCATGATGAACTTGTAAGCATTGGCCTGTTTGGCTGCTCTGATTATGTCTTCCATGGTAGCATCATCCCGACCATAGCGAATATTCTCTGCAATTGTGGTAGCAAACAGCACTGGCTCTTGCTCAACAACACCAATCTGTGAGCGCAGCCACTGGATATTAAGGGAACGAATGTCATGGCCATCCAGAGTAATCTGCAGAATCCAAATAAAGCAAAGGCAAGCAAATAAAATAACATTCAGGGACATTATTCCCTTCAGTTCAGAGACAAAGAAACAGAATAGATAAAAGACCCGTGAGGCTGCTTTTCTATGCCCAGTATAAAAAACATCTTTCATACTTCAAAAGCTGCAGTGCAGTGGGAGAAGTGTTTGATAGTTCTTGTGCCTAGGACATGTGCCCTTGATTCAATTCCCTGTATCTCACAAATAAAACCAAGTGAAAAGTACTCATCAAAATCACTCTCTTTAAAGGACTAACTAATTTGAACATACACAGATAAAGCTTTTCATTAGTAAATCTGAATTAAAAGCTCCATGGAATGCAAGGCAGAAAAATCATCCATCCTCATCCTCCACCATCTCCCTGCAGACACTTTTTAAGACGGTAGTTATTCTGAGGGGGAGGGATTTCTATATTCTAGACCAATCTACTCACAGAGCCCCAAAAGTTGTCCATGCACCTTATTTTCTAGTCCTTTCCTCTCATTTATGGAAAAGAATATTTTTAGACAAATTTATTCCATTGTTTCTGTGCTGGGAAGGAAACTAATGATGAAGAGACCTCATTGTAAAACACAGCAGGCAAAAGTTTACAAAAATATTCCTAAGAAAAATAAAGGTTTTTGTGAGCAGTGCCACTGTATTTTCCATACATTTCCTCATCCCCATTAGGTTATACAGTGACTTGTTCTTTATGAATATTGAAACTTTAGTCTTTTGCCATGAACAACACAAGAAGAAATCACAGAAATCATAGAACACTAATGAAACTGAGTTCTATATACATGAGATTGGCACGCTATGCTTACATTAAATTGGTTATTTTTCTCTTACACACTTAAATACAGGTAACCACGTATGTGATTTGTGCCATTTAGGGAAATAGAAATAGAATGGAGCCTATTAACAAATGTAGCTCATATTCTTAGCCAATCCATTATTAATTGGTAATGACACATGCAGAAACAATTATTGTCCAATAATGATTAAATGTTCAGAACATAAGATGGATTATCTTAAATACTTATAGATACTATAGATACTTAGATATCTTATAGGTACTGTTTTCATTCAAGTTAGCACTGAATTTTTATTTCATCCTAAGGGTTTTTTTCTTTCACATAATTCTCTTGATAATATTTATTCAGCACTCCCTTGAGAGGTTATTTCACTCATTTATTTTTTGAATGATCAAAATAAACATTAGGAGTGTTCCTTTCCCTCTCAGAGAAGAAACTCTTTCAAGTCCCAATAATACAGGAACCCCTGCCAGAATTAGACACTCACCATGCCATCGGTAGGGTCATAGAAACGCTGGATGAGCTGTATTATTGTACTCTTTCCAGCTCCACTAGCTCCAACAAAAGCTGTTGTCTCCCCTGTTTTAATAACCATGCTAAGGTTATCCAAAATCTGGAGAGAAAGAAGAAAGAAAAAGAATCCATCCATTCTAATTCTCTCGGAGCTATAGCAGGAGGAAATCCACACTATGTTCTTTATTTTCTTTATTTGAAAATGCAGATTCTAAGCAAATGTACAAAGCTAAAAAATAAAAAAAAACTAAGAAGAAAAAGAAAACTAAATATTTTTCCATTGTTTGAAGACCTTATAAATGCAGACTGCTGCTTTTCATGACAGCCATCACATTTTGATCTTAGTTCTTGCTGTTCATCATTAAGAACTAATTAATACCACTGGAGAACCTGGCAATAAATCCACTTTAAGGAAGAGTCTATATGAATTAAGAATGCTTGTCCAAGAACAAATGTTAAGAATATAGGAATATAGAAGTGAAACTATATAGAATATTCCAATAATTCACATGCTTCTGAGTCTACCCAATATTATGCTTTTTTTTTTTTTTTTTAGGATTTGTCAATTCAAACACAGCAGCAAAGAAATAATGGAGTATACAGCTGGGGCTCCTGTACCTTTTCCTAGATGTTAACTGTCATATAATGCATGCCTGGGATAATGGAAGATTTCTATAAAGTCTCCTTACTTTGTCCAGCTTACTACTTTGTGCACTACTTTGTGCCGCATGTTGAGACATGTGCATAACTATATGCCAATAAAATTGTCCAAAATCAGCAAGTTTATGTTCAGCAGCAAAGAATATGTATGACAATAGATATTTCAGAATGGTAAAATAAACAATGGTAAAAAGAGGAACAAAACTGATAGATGAATTATTTAGTCTACTTTTAAACAGGGGGTCTAAAATTGCAGAAAGAAAATCTACTGAAAATCTAGAAGTTGCTGGCAAGTTATTTTATTTGTTTTCAGTAATTGTATTCGCAAAAGGGATGATAATTACCTTTACATCAGGTCTGGAAGGATAGTGGAATGTTACATTATGAAATTCAATTTCACCTCTTACTTTATCCAGCTTGTAGCCTTCTTCCGACATGCAGTCAATGGTGGGTTTCTAGGGTAAAAATCATTGCATTTACTTGTTTCTGAACAGCCAACACTGTTGCAGTAGTAGATAAATGTTTCCAACACCATACAAAGCCAGAATATCTCTGAACATCAACTGGTTGAACTGAGCTAGCAGCAGAATCTACCCCAGGGCTATCAGGTAAGGAACCTGATGTTAAAGGCTAAAATAACCAAGGAATTGTTCCCGTTAAGTAGTGCAGGCAAGATGAATGCACCCTCTTTACTGCATTTACAAAGCCTACTACTCAGCTTAGCTTTCCTGGAACAGAATAGCTGCATGAATTAAGCATTTTAACTAAGTCAATTCAAGCAGTGCCTTGGGACTGAAACGACAGTACTTTGCACATATAAACCATTGAGGAAACAATAACTTGCTGAAAATCTGCACGCTTCATCACTTTGCATTTCAAACATTCATCCCTGAATGCCCCGTCCTAGGAGAAGGAAACCTGAAGCTTTTCCATGAAGTGCTTTGGGTCACATATACATTTGGCCAGGCCTCAGATATTGTGGACTGTACAACATGAGCAGAAAAATAAGAGGAATTTGAGGAATCCCAAAGAAATCAATTTTTCTAAGGACAGCTTTACTAGGAAATTTATGGAAAATCTTAACCACAGTATAAAGAAAATTCAATAAAACTATGATTAAAACTATAACAAGATCAATATTTGATAACGGATAAACACTTTTTTTTTAAATGTAGCCTAGCAGATAGAAGAGAATTTTAATATTAGAAATGTGTACGTTCTAAGATGTAAAGAATGGCTAAAAGCTTTCTCTTAAGAATACACTCCACTTAAATTCTAATATTAAGCTATGAAGAAAAGAGTTTCGCTGATCCCGCAAATGAGAACATCAGTATGATCACACTTAAGTTCAGTGCCAGAGAGAACATTCATCAAATCTCAGCAGAGCTGAGATTTTACAATCTAGTTACAAATCTACAAATGCAGCAAACAGATGATCTAATTTATCACCCTTCTCTAGATGGGAAAAAAGTCTCGTTTCTGTTTTCTTTTTACCCTACAGTTATCTGACTATCTTGAATGTTGCGATTAATCCTTATTGTTGCGCATCTTTTGTGCTTTCAATTTTTTTCTCTTAAAAACCACTTCTCTTATTCATCTCTTTTTCAATTATCTAAAAGGAAAATCTTTAGATAATTAAGGCATCTATAAGACATATGTGTTATCATTATTACAGAACACTGAAAGGTTACAAAAAAGTACATCAGTGTCACCATAGTTATTTCAGCCTTCTTTATATACATTTATGTGATCTGTAAAAGACCGGCAGCATTTTAATGTGTTTACACACTTTCAGCACAATAACTCCTGTCAATGACCAGATACATTAAGTACCATTAAGAAATCTAGAGTGTTTTGCCAGCCACTAAATAAATGCAGATACAGAAAGGAATCTTTATGAATAAATGCCAGCAGCTTACAGACCTTTCTGACATAGAAACGTAGATACATATTTTATACATACAATCATACATTATATCTTCAAATGTATAGATATGTATTTCAAATACTGTGATTAACATTTTTGAACGCTGTGAGACCATTCCCTGTGCTCTCTGGATTTCATTTTAATTTGGGATAGCTCTAGGACAGGTGACCCAGAGTGACAAGAGTCCTACTAGCTAATGCCAATAGGATCACATTTTACACTATGTGTAGACAGTGAGGTAGGTACCTGCTGAAAATTTGACTGTAAGGTAACTGTTGCTTCCTGCCTGTACACTTTTTGTGGTCCAGCACTGATCAATAACTGTGTGCAAGGAGATATGGAAGTAAGAAACAGCAGTAGCTGAGGTAAAACTGCATTTCTCAGAAACAGGACAGTTAAGGAATCTGTTCGACATCTCCTCTAAGGATATGTGCATGCCGATCAACCTTTTATCACACATCCGATTTTTCTTTAATTGCTCTCATTTTTCCTTGTCTACACTGCAAACTACTTCTGTTTGAGACTTACTTATTTTTCTTCCCACCAGTGACACAGCTTAGAAATGTATTACTTACTCTATCTATTGTCTCAAAAATGTTTGTTGCAGCCCCGCGTCCAGTGGCAAAGGCTTCCAGGCAGGGAGATGCTTGACCGAGATTTAAAGCTCCTACTAAAACACCAAAGAAAACCTGTAGAAGTGGAAGAAAAACTTAAGAAAATCTGACATCAGGTTTTTATTACAATCCAGACCTCAGGCAGGCAAATCAAACTAAAGAGGATTAATGAGTTCTTGTGCATCAACTGATCTGCAGTGATTCACCACAAGTATAATTAGCTCACAAAAAAAGGCAAACGAATGCATCTTAGAATCTCCTTTTAAGTACTTGAAGACTAACATGAGGTCTCCCCACAGCCTTCTTTTCTCCAGACTGAACAAGTCCAGCTGCCTCAGCCAGTCTTTGTAGGAGAGGTGCTCAGCCCTCTGCGCATCCTTGTGGCCCATCCTCTGGATTCTCTTCAAAAGCTCCACATCTTTCTTATGCTGGGAGTCCCAAGGCCTGGACACAGTATTCCAGATGGGATTTCACAAGGACAGAGTAGAGAGTGATAATTGCCTCTCCTGTCCTGCTGGCCACTCCTCTTTTGAGGCAAACCAGTTAGCCTTTTAGGCTGCAAGTACACACTGTTGGCTCGTATCAAGCTTTTCATCCACTCGAGAAGGACCCTCAGGTCCATCTCTGCAAGGCTGCTCTCAATGAGTTTTTCTCCCAGCCAGTACACATATCTAGGATTGCCATGACTAAAGTGCAACACCTTGGTCTTGGCCTTGTTGAATCTCATTACATCCTCGTGGGCCTCCTTTTCAGGCCTGTCCAGGTTAGAACTCAGCTAGTCTTTTTGAACTCAACAGACAGTAGCCAGGATACAAGCAGAAGTTGTATGAAACAAACACTACTGTTAAGAAAGAAATAAAATTACACAGGACTCAGTCCTACTTTGCATCACACTGATGTTTACTATACTGGCTGAAAGAATCTACTGTAAAGACTGTACCCTGCAAACATCTATACAGTGATACGCAGATCATGCTATAAATTCATACTCAGCTTTACTGCAAAACAACTTCTTAGTTGGGTGAGTCCCAAAGTAACTAGATTACGTGCATGTCAGAATCCATCAAGTATAGAAGAGCAGGTTCTGTAGCTTTGATTAGAAGAAAAAGGCAAGGAATTTCCTAGTGTATCTAAAGCACCAGAATCATTAGTGCACAATGCTTTTTTAAGGGACTAGGAAAAGAATCTTTAAACATTTTCTACATATATCTCCCTCACTCCAGTCCTCCAGTGTATGGTTGAAAACATGAAGTAGAAGAGGGATGATTGGCAAGAGAGAGAAAGGGAAGGATAACAAATAACCTTTCAGTTTACAGCTTCAATTTTTCAGCTGGGTAGCTCCCCTCTCTTTGCTATTTTTCATGAGGAAGCACTGAACTACAGTTGTGTACAAGGCAAGGAAATAACTTTGTTTGTTACAGCACTACCTTGTATCATCACTGGTGTCAAAAGGAGTTGCAAATGATTTTCTGTGAGGGACATCCTCCTTGAACAGAATGACTCAATTTTACTATGTTCTCAAAGTAAATTACCAAGCTCACTTAACAGGAAGTTTTGCACTGCAGGCTGCTGGTGGTAGAGAGCTCTTATGTTGGGCAATTGGTAGAGAAGAATCAGAAACAGATGTCTGATCAGAACACCCAGGACACATACCAAGGTTCAGAAAAAAATTGCTCCGGTTCTGGACCACAGCATGACACTTCGGCAGTCTTGGTTTTAAGTGAACAACCAAAGCACCTGTAGATGCTGGTTTTATTGCATTTATGTCACTGATGTGTTAAACATCAACTGTGCAGAAGTGGATGCAAAAGACCACCAGGAGATTAATATGCTTCTTTTTTTTGGTATAAAACACAGGAGGCGTAGCCACATGTGTTTTGATAGCGTACATATTTACAAGTTGCTTATCTATGGCACTGTATGGGAAATCTACAAAAGAAAATGGTGCTTCAAAAGACCTGGAACCACTCATGAGAGACAGGATAGATTTGATAAACTTTTCTTTGCTTGGGTTCTTCTTTATCACAACGTTTTGATCTTTATCAACAAAAAAAAAGCTCTCCTGAGATGGCAATACCGTAGAAGCCACATGCCAGCCCACAATATGGGAAAGCTGGTTTCAGGCCACTGTGCATCAGGCACATTATTCTGACCAGAGCACACCAGGAGGCATTTCAAGTAAATACAGATTTTTTTAAATCTTATCCTGGTGTATCATCTACTTTCATGCATATAATGAGTGATGACTTTATTTATAAGTAAACAGATATGAAAACACTACATCCCAGAATTAATGCTTTAAGAAACAGTCAAGAAAAAAGTTGCATGGGTACCTGTAAAAGAGTGCCGGGTGAATACTCATCATCTTCAAGGACAAGTTTAGAGCCATACCAAAAGGCTAATGCGTAACACAGGAAGATTACAAACCACATGTAACCACTGAATACTCCCATTATTATTCCTTTTCTGATTCCCCAGTGTTGAGCATACACTAAATTCTTATCATATCTGTAGGAAGACATAAAAATAAAACTGAATGAAATGAACTTGACAGCAAAATTTATATGAACAAAGAGCAAGAAAGTGCAATTAAAGTTTTCTTTCCCAATCCAACCATTTTTTTAATCATTCCTAATTCCTAATTTTCCTAACATTCCTAATTAATCATTCCTAACATTCCTAATTTACAGTGGGCACAATAAATTGAGGTATTTGTGGGAACTATGATACTCTGTAAATAATATTCTTACTTGGAAGTACACAAGATTTTCAGATGTGCAGCAACGTTTGACAATAAGTTCCTACAAAGGCGAATGACTTGAAGATAGTATTAGTTATGTTCTATTTCACTGATTGAATTATGAAACAGATTCTGCATAAGAACGTAACTTGAAAACTAGATTTCTGCAACATAAATGCATATAATTCTCAAAACTCTGAGACTAATTGCTGCAGTCACATTTCTAAAGGAGAAGGAATGCAGACTCTCTATAATTTGTCTGAACAAACCTCTCAACTTCTTTCTTCTCGCCACCAAAAGCAGCTACTGTTCTGATGGATGAGAGAACTTCATCAGCCACAGCCCCAGCTTTTGCATAAGCCTTTAGTTCTCGGCCTGTCAGTTTTGCCACAGCCTGTAAAACCATAGGAAATTATGATTATACCTGACCATGATAAGCAGCTCTGACCATCACACAGTGCTGCATGAGGTCACTTCCCCTGTTTCTGGACTCACTGCTCATTCAAAGGTTTGTCTTCTAGTGTTAGGACATATATTTCTGTAGCATGCATTTTGTCTAAAAATTATCCAAACAGCTCTGCTTCAAATACCTAGAAAGAGCTACAGACAAATGCTTTCTCTCACTCCCTCCCTCCCTCTCTTGCTAGCTGCATTTTAGCAGACCATAGAATGATCATGCATGTGTCCATCATGGCAGGAGGGGTAGGATCATCAGGAAGAGCAGCACTTTAGCCAGCGTAGCAGAGCCAGCCTCAGAAAGAACAGGTAATGGTACTAATGGGGGAGAAAGAAAATACATGTAGCCCATCACTATGCTTTGTCTCTTGGGCCAGTAGCAAGCAGGTTCCTGCACAGCACCTGAGAGCACACTGGATGCTGAAAGCTTACTTGGGCTCAAGAAGTGCTCACACTGAGTGTTATACGTAAAGATGCTATATTAGTTCAGGAATTAAATGTTCCCGGAAATTGTAACATGTCATTATTTGCTTTCATTCTTCAAATACTCTACCCTAAGCCTCTGTTAGTCACTTTCTGAGATGAAACCATGCTAAACTGATTTTAAATCTGTTTTCTTTATGATAAAAAACTATAACTTGAGCTAGTAAGGTTCACAAAGAAGAAAGACTTAATTGTGAGTATGTGAAAGACATGGGGACAGAGAAAGAATTGAAATGGGGAAAATGACAAAACATAAAGGGAATGAGGTCAGAAATAAATTGCAAATGAAGGAAAGATGCATTTTGGAGTTGATTTTATTCTCTGCCAGAACACTGCTCTCCCACTTTATACTGAGTCATCATTCATATCATCTGCTTTGCAGCCAGCATACAGCATAAGGAGAGCAGGAAGAAACAAAATTTGTCACAGTTAGACTAGAAGGCTGATAGCAAAATGAGAGCAAACTGTTCCTGAGGTGGAAGAAGGGAGATAGCTAGGCAGGGGGCTGAAGCCAACTGAAGAGTATGAGAGTGTGCAGGAGGAGCAGGAACTGCTGAGGGAGGGAAAGGAGATGATAAGGCAGAGGATCCTGTGATTCCCCTCTTCCACCTGGTTCCTCTGCACAGTCACAGGGAAGTGCAGGGTGTGGGCAGAGAAACAGAACCTGAATGACTGGAAAAAGACACAGTAGTTGACAGGAGTACGGATATCCTGAGGTGAGTCTGAGCTGTTTTGAACTGGTTTAGAGCTCCAAGACTGGGTCATCTCTAAAACCTTAGGTAGAAAAACTAAGTCCCAAGTCTAATAACCATTTAAACCCAGCATGGAGTAATAGACAGATGCTGCAGGCCAATTCTAATCCCAGCAACCCCAATATCCCTGCACATGACTCCACAGAAGCAATGCTTATATTCCCATCTTAGAGGCTGGATATTGGATTCTGGGAATGAGAATAAGCAAAGTAGGAGTGAAGTTCCTCCTTAGCTCACACACATCACAAAATCATAGAATTACCAGTTCTGCCGTGACCGGAATCTGACTCTCTTGACTCTAAAAGGTTGTAACAACCTCCTGTTTCAGCATTTCCCTTAGCTCTAAGGCATGACCTTCCCTGTTCAATGTACCTGTCTTAGTTTCATCTGGGATGTAATATTTTTTCCGCAGAGTGTCTGGTATGATGCTATGTTTTTGTTCTAGGAGAAAAACAACACACCAGTGTTTACAGCTGCTGCTAAGCAGCATTATACAGAACCAAGGCCATTCTCAGCAAAGGGCCCAAGTTGCTGGGAGGGAACAGAATTAGGACAACTGACTCAAACTGACCAAAGGGATATTCCATACCATATGACATCAAGTGGAAGGAGTTTTGAAGGGTGTGAGAATTCATCTCTCTCTCTTCCACTACTCAGAGGGTGAGCTGGGCTTCAGTCAGGGGGTGGTGAGCAACTGCTTGTGCATCGCTTGTTATTTACATTCACATACATATATATAGTCATAACTATTAGCCTTTTCCTTATGTCTATCTGAGTAAATAGTTTAACCTCAACCCACAAGTTCTTTTTTTTCTTTTTTTCCCCTGATTCTCTCCTCCATCCCACTGGGCAGTGGGAGAGGGAGCAAACAACAGTGTGGTAACTACCTGCAGGCTTAAACCACAACAGTACCTCAGAGTGAACCTCATACTATGCACTTACCAAGCCATAGACAGCTGCTCCAACCCCAATGAGGGGACTGACTGCGATGATAACCAGGGTCAATTTCCATCCACTGACAAATCCCAGTAGGAATCCACACACAAAGGTGGTTAAGCGCTGGATGAAGATTGCTACTTGATCAGCAATAGCCTCATTAATTTTGTTAACATCACTGTGAGAGTAGGGGGAAAAAAAATGGAAAGGTCAGTGAGTGTATCTGCATATCTTTCCTTTGTATTGCCACATTTTGCTTTCCCTTGCAGAGGGCTTTTCCAAAGATGCTCAGCTACAGTAAGAAAACTGGAGCCTTTGCAATGGCAAAAGGCATTTATTTTATACATGAATACTACAGAGAAAATTCTGTCTTATCCCAGGAAGAGCCATCCTGCCAGCAGTCTCATTCACCACTGTGCCCCAGCTGATGCAAAGGGAGCAGAGACATCTCAGCTGGATGCAGCTATTTGATAGTATAACTGATACGGCATATCCCCATTGTATAGCACTAACTGCAGCCTTGCTGAGGAAGTAGGAGGAAGGCTTTAACTCTCTTCATCATTCAACATTACACCAGGCAGTTTGTTCTCTGAATATGAGGGAGAGTGGAAAAATAGAGGGATACAATATCACTGGAAGTATTGGGAAAACATGACAGCTGTGTCACATGTGGAAGAGCGGTGCAATGGTTAACATAACTCGAGCCCCATGCAGCAGCAGAGTTCATTTGGTCTCACTCATCCATTGCCATTACAGAAAAAACATCTCAAAACAAAACAGTCATTACACTTCTGCTGCTCTTGGCTACTCTCTCACCCTTGGGAACAGGAGAATCAGGAACTCTTGGAACAAAAAGGAGCAAGTGGCACTGATGTTTAAGGAGCAGATTTGTTAGTACAGTTCTCTACTTGAAATATGAGAGTGCTGAGTTCAATAACATGCTTACATTTTCTTCTTACGAATGTTGGTTTTGCATTCAGGAAGCTTTTAGAAGGCGCAAGACAGTGTTATCCTAACAATCAGTGAACCGGGTGTTATCTATTCAAGAAATATGTGTTTGCTTCACCTTTTTAGTCATATTCCTCACAGCCAATTACATTTTGTATTTCTTTTTCATAAAAAAAAAAAAAAACACTACAGAAATTCATAGTTGCTACTTGTCAATAAAGACAAAAACATTCCGTCACCTACAGAAAATCTTTTGCAGCTGTCCCTATTATTATGCAGGCACGACAGAGCACAGGGAGCCACCTAGAGTCAGCATATTCATCTTGCAGCTTCTTTAAGTCTGTAAACAGGAACTACAAAGCGAAGAAGCAAGCCTTAAACTCAGCTTTTCTCAGAACTAAACGTTTACCCAGAAGTTTTCTCCATCTACCCTGGGTCCCTTTCTGAAGGTAAGTGCTTGTAACTGCTGCTTTAGCAGAAGATTAAGCAAGTCTCACTCTTTTCTTTCAAAAGCAAAGAGCATAGTTTGCGTGCAATTTTCCTTTCCATTAAGTGAGAGGGTTGAAACCCTTAACTCAAACCTCTGAGGAATACGCGTTGGCAGCCTAATGGGAGACTCAGAAAGGGCTGGGTACAGGAAAAGACAAAGGAGGAGGTAGCAAAAATAAAGAAACAAAATATCACTGACAAAACAGTTACAAAGGAGAAATAATTGTAGCATACCACTTACACGTGGGAGACAATTAGCCTAATCCCTGCTCTCTATTTTGTACTAGAAGGTGTTTGTTAAATGCCTAAATTGGCACTCTGTTTGGTGTCTGGAAGTGCAAAAATGTTCTTTGTAGTATATTTTTTTCAGATTACTTACTCAGAAATTCTTGTGTTCAGCTCTCCTACAGACGTGCAGTCAAACCAGCCTATATCCATTCTCATAATGTTCCTGAAATAAGCTTTCCTGATTTTCTGTATCTGACGAGCTGCAGCCATAACCCAAAAGCAGATCTAGGAAGAGTATAATGCAGTTAATAAATTGCAGTGAAAAGTCTTTCTAGTCTCTACAAATAGGAAAAAGCAATTTGGCTAACATGGAAAAAAAAAAAAAAGAATAATCTGGCTATCAATAAACTCAGCATTCAGCTAAAATACATTCTAGCTACACACACACAGACATTGAGCTATTTTATGATCTCAATCTTTAAATAATCCAACATTTCTTAAAGCCTCTGGATGAAGCTTTTATCTTGGTTAGACAGAACGTGCAAGATCAGTTACTCTGTACTGTTACATAAACGTCACAGGAAAACAGATGTCCATCTGCAGCTATAAATAATAGAGGTATGGCAGCCATTCTACCTCAGCAAAGCTCTCAGATAGCTTTTAGGAAAGAGAACGACAAGTGCTTCTCATGATTATAGAAAGCTTCAAAAGCAATGGATTCAAGCAGATTCTACTGGAATTGTCAAGCTTGTAGCTTATCTCAGTTATACAGTTTGAATCAGTGCTACAGAACATATAGAGTGTGATTCTACTCCAACACCAATTTTACACTATTACTCTGTAACATCTCCCTTACAGAAACACAGAGCTCAAGTTAGCCTACTTGGGAAACTGTGTGCCCTTTAGCTATTTGCAGGAGAGCATGTGGCTTCCTTAGTAACCACATTCAAGCAAATATTTCTTTTGGTGTGAAAGGAGCAGCACACATTCATCTCACTGGGTTAAATGCATCTGTGCACTAAGGTTTGCATGAACAAATCCTAGGTCTCAGATAATCAGAGCTAAAATATTTCATCCAATAGGATTAGAACTAGGCTTGTCTGCACTGCTCAAATATGATGTTGACTAAGCAGTTAAAAGGGAATACAGTTATGACAAACTTAATTATTTAGTGATTTAAACCTTGAAATCAAAATAGGAAGCAAAATACTGACTTGAAAGTATCCTAACAGAAGTACAGCACAACCAATTCCTCCATAGTAACCTGCAAAAGTGGTCATTTCTTTTTCAATGTCAAGCAGTCTAAAAAAAATAGAAAAAAAGAATTAGCAATACAGTTTTTAGTTTCTCACATATTTCTAGTGTGGCGTGTCTTCAAATTTAGAGTCAAGTCAGCTGGCGAGTCAGTTTGTTTTGCTACCAGAAACAATTTCCTGGTCCTGAGGCTATTGTTAGCAGATGCTGGTTTGCTTGATATTCCTGTGGCACAGGGGTGGGGAGCTGGCAGGTACCAGGAAATCTCGCATCCTGAAACGGCCCTACAGTGTGAAAGGGCCAGATGAGAAGCCCCACTGGTCTGTGTGTTTGGCAGCAGCACAGCTAAGAAGGTGTTTTAGGCAGCACCTGTCAAGCAAGTTTTCATTAGATGTTGAATTACCTTATTTTGTACCATTATACCAATGAATAACACTCAAATTTAAGCAGTGTTCTACAGAGAGAAATGAGGGCTGTTGAAGCATATTCAAATATTACTTTCTTGCTTATCTCAAGTGATCATCTCTTTTATGAGAAATAGTTGTATCAAATTACTCCTAATATCAGTAAAGTGCACTGAATTGCTGGCATTACACTTAGATCACTTTGAAACAAACATTTTGGTTGGTTACTGGATATTCTTTTAGGTATTTTTTTAAACATTCCGCAGAGAGCAAGTTTATTCTGTAGGCCCAGAATTTGGTATGCTCCCATTTTAAGCCAAAAGGGAAAAGTATGTACCTGACTTGATTTCCAGCAAAACACAATCATGAAAATAACTCAGGTGTTTAACATAAATACTTAGTACCATTTTAAATGTTTTTATGCATCCTGCCTGATAGCTAGTTGCTGCTTCAGAGGAGCAGAGGTCTGTAGCAAATCCTGTGTCATATTTGCTAGTTCCTTCTCAGGGTTTGGCTTGCACAGCCTGGATCAAATAATTTGGCTCCAGTCACCTACATTTTGGAATGCAGATCACTTCCCATATGCTCTGAATTTCAGAGATCATTAAAGAAGTAAGTTTTAATTCTAATTGCATGCTTCTACTGTTACTGAATGATTAGAAAACTTTTGGAATGATGTCCTGAAAACCAAGCCCTAAGAACAGTTATAGGTTCAAATTTGTCTTCGACAGATATGTATACATGAATGATTCATTGGGACTGTCTTTATTATAATTAACAGAAACAAAAAGGCACTCTGAAAGGACAGTTCATCAGACCTGCCTTACACATCTCCCATAAGCCAAGATGAATTGCATTCTAGAAGTACACATTTCTCTTCAATGACTAAAGTTTAGTTGACTTGCTCAGATGTCAGCTGGCACCCATAGGATAGGCACCTTAGTGCTAACCAAAATGTCCAGAAGTCATTATTACCTATTGGGTCATCAAAGAAAACATATCAGTGATTTCAGAGGCACGCAGAAATACATTATCATCACTATCACTATCAAAGAATATCCTGGCTGACATCTATAGCTGAAAGATCAAGATCCAAGCTGGACTTCTCTTCCTTCAGCTCTGAAACAAAGCTCTGTACCAAGAACCATGCCTCTTCTACCCATGTAAACTTTAAAGGCTGAGCCAGGCCTTTTGTAAGAAGACATGCTAGACAAACCACAACAACACAGTAAAAGAAACAAGCATTTCTACTACTTACCCACATCTTATTGTGGTGTTCCTTTCATTCTGATGAACAGTACCATTAATCCACACTATGGTGTTATTTACGCATGTTTTATTTGGATCTTTAAGCTCTTGCATTTCAATGTCATATTCAATGAATGTGTCTGCCATTGCACCAAACACAAGCAACATGCCTGGCTGGGCTGCTCCATGAAGAATAGCACAGAAGCTACCAACAACCATCATTAAAATTTCCATAGGTGAAGAAAATCGAAACTAAAGAGACAGGAAAAAAAAATGGTCTCATGCTGCTTGTATGCTGATAAATCATTAATCAGGTGGATCAGATACTAAGTCATTCTTCTTAAGAGTCATCATTTCTTCAATATAGAAAGAAGAGAAATATCTCTCTCCAGTCTAATAGAATTGTACCTGTAATTACAGTCTCATAAATTATGATGAACTCTCTTTAAGTATTTGACAGAAGAATCTGATCGTGTGAATGAATGTATAGAATCATAGAGTATTATCATATAATATTAATAAGGCAATATCAGTCCACATTATCATCACTCCAGACTCTATCTTAAGAACAGTAATTATAATCCATATATATAGTCACCTCTGCAGTTTTCCTGTGAGAAAGGAGAGAGGGAGAAGGAAGGAACAAAAAAGCCTCAGGATATTTTGCAGTCTCTGAACAGAACTATCCAATTTCTCAAAACTGGGTGCTGTGGTAGAAATTCACCTCAAAATCTCAGAACAAATTCTCATAGTTAATAGTCTAAGTTGCATTGGCTGAACTAGGTAATTGTGCACTGACTCTTAATCTAGGAGAAATGTATAGAAACATGACTCAGTATGCAGTAAAAAAAGGGACTGAGCTAATCGCTATTGCCTTACATGGGCCAAGTGCTTGCACACACAGCTGGTTGCACAACTAAGTTACAGTGTCTTAAATTACTTTGGTCACAATCGTGTGAAGTCTGATTCTCAGGTTAGAATCAGGCATAAATACATAGATTAAACTGTACTTATAGAATATTAATATTGAATGCTACTGTAAAGGACTGGAAAGAGAAATCCTGGCCAGCTGAAGAACCAGTCTAGGTTCTGTAGGTGTTATAATGTGTTTGAGAGAAGAAGGGGCAGGAATTTGGAACACATATTGAAAGGGTTATTGGGACAGAAACACGATAAAAGGAAAAACAAGTCAATATGCAAAAGAAATAAACAAAAGGTCTTTCTAAAAAAAAAAAAAAAAAAAAAAGGAAGCACACTATCACTGTTTTGCAAACCAGTAAGCTAGTTCCTAGAGATGGAAAAACTTGTGATTCATCCTTCAACAGCCATAAGGCAGAAAGGAGCACCACAGTTCTCCCCCTGGGAATATCCACAATGGCAAGCATGAACTGACTGTTCTGCTAAGATTTGAGATACCTAGTCAGGTAAAGTACAAGCAGGTGTCACTGCACTAGTCCAGTATTAATCAGGATCATTCTAGTTTGGACACATTACAGGCTACTTGCATAAACAACGTGTGAGAAAAAGAAATACAAAAATCTCTTTGCTGCATGCTGTTGGGTTGGGTGTCTCTACTATGTTCATTTCAACATTGTGACACACTCTATGGCTCTCCAGGACAGATCAAATATACAGCCTATGGCTAGACATACCACACAGCATTGTGCATTTCCAAGTTTTCTATAGTAACCTGCAGGTTCTATATAACGTGTTTAACAGACAATTGTTACACAGATACTGGCAATTAATACTCAGTTAATGAAATGAAAAAATAGTTCTATTAAATTCCTACTGAATTTAATAGTAGAATTTCATGCCAAATGGTTTAGTTTCTTACAAGTTCGACTCATTCACAGCTATTCTCCAGAACACCATATACATTAGTATCATTTATTCTTTAGAACCATGCAGACATTTATATCCATTGCTTTCATTACCAGCTGAAAGAAGCCAACACGAACAACTTTTTCTTTCTTTTTGGATGACCTTCAAGAACAGAAAACATACAATTACAAAATTGCATTTAGTACAGATTTTGTTCTATATGGAAAGATAGTACACAGAATTGAACTTAACTTACTTTTCATTTTTCTTCTTAACAGAAGGTTCTTCACATGCATAGAAATTTCTGGCAAAGAAAGGATAAGTTTTCACATGAATTCCTTTATTCTCTCGGTTAGTTCTCTGAAATTACATTTTATTTGAGACAATTTGCCAGAAGTTTTAAAGAGACAAGCTGTTTCTTTCAGATTTCTTTGGAATCAGTGATTTTATGGTAATTTTAAAGTTTAGTTAGGGAGTTGAACAGAGGTTAGGTTAAAATGATTTGAAGGTTTATGCACTGTTTCATAATAAGCTCCTTAAAACATCGTTGCAATACTAAATTCTTTTGAGATCTGTTAGAGAAAAATCTATGAACCAAATTTTTGGCTAGTCCTTACTTAAGACAGAGAAGCCATCTTCCATTTCCCTCTTATACTATCTGGACATCCATATTCCCCTAGTAGCAGCAGAATCTCTCACACCACTACACAGCTTCTCTTTCAGTGCTAGCATTATCTGCTGCTGCTCTATATGATCCATAAAACTCTAAATGTCTAGTTGTACTATAATGGACATCATCCATACTATAATACGTATCACCACCATCTATGAAGGAGTAGCAAATTTTGTATTTAGATTTATTAGAAAGATGAATTCCAGTTATATTTGTTGTGAACATTTTTCAGAAACTAGAACCTGGAAAGCCTGAAGGAAGTTTCATATGTGTACGTTAGAACTCCATGTGCCCAGAGAGTTTGTAGAGTCTCATTGCCTGGAGACGTTCAAGACCCACCTGGATGCGTACCTGTGCAACCTGGCCTAGGGAGCCTGCTTTGCAGTGGGGTGGACTCGATGATCTCTAGAGATCCTTTCCAGCCCCTACAATTCTGTGATTCCATAATTTCAATAACATTCCAAGAGAGCTTGGGTTTCAAAATTTGTGAAACGACCATAGTAGATTTTGAATTCTGGGTGAGTACTCTCTGACATGGGCAACATGGCAAGGACAAAAATGAAGAGATGGTCTTCCTTCCCCGTGTCAAGAGTAGCTCTCTATCTGTGTACAGCGTGCCAGAAATAGCTGGCATGAATTACAGCACCTACTAGCATTTCCAGTCAGCTACAGAGTTGCCCCAGGATCTAGGAAGAGGCCTTCCTCTTATCCCCATTCATATCTCAAATCATAGTTGAAGATCAAGATCTGTAAGTCATTAACTGCCTAGAAGTTTATGGTTTATGTTTAAATCTTAATATCTTAATTACGTCAGAAATTTGTTCACACTTATGGTCTAAAAGTTAAGCCTGAAGAGAAAGCAAACAAGGCTAATTCAAATTCCTTGAGAACTCATTTCTCAAAGAAAAAAACACTGTCAAAAGTATTTGGAAAAGAAAGTCTATCTTTTGCTGACATTACATTGTATTTGAAACAGCTACTAGGACTGTTTTGGTCTGCCTTTGTCAGTTGTATCAAATAAGGCAGATTACTTCCTAGAGAATAGCTTCTTATTAAATACCCTATATTCTGTAAATGTGTCAATTTGATCAGATGACATTAACTTTGTTGAGTATTCCTAGAAATATTGTTACACTTGTGTACATCACTTACTCTGATTTCTTGAAGCTGTTACCTGTTAGGAAAAATAAATGCAGTCTGGTTAACACTAATTATCATTCAAGTATATGATCTTCTGTAGGTATGAAAAACAAGTCCTAGAATCCCACGGGATCTGACTGCTCCTAAGTTATAAAGTATCTTATTCCTTCTAATATATCCAATCAGGGACAAGAATTGACATAAGTCTAAAAATGCCCTGCAAGTTAATACCTATTCATGTCTGTTTTCTCTTGAAGAAATAGTCTCAAGAATTCAATTCCCAAGATGACAGAGTGTATTTTATTAAATACATTATTCATCACCAGTTAAACATTTGCCACAAGTCAACATATTTTCATTGCAAACTGTTTGCTAGTATGCAGCTATGTAGCTCACTTGGACACTGCCTCATTGTCCATGTGCTCCTCTGAAAGGAGGAGCTGTAGCTCTTGCCTTCCAACAACTTAGAGATGGCAGATCTTGCAGAAAAGGTGCAGCTGTGCCCCTAGAGAGTAAGAGTAGACACTGGGATACATTCTGAAAAACCGTAACTTAGAGAAATTGAATTATATTACAAGATACAGTTGTGCAGTATGGCAGCTCCTTAGTCTCTACATGGTTTTGCATTTTCCAAGGTAGTGATGCTAGAACTAAGTGGTCTGAGTTTGGGATTAAAGGAAAACCTAATTACAATTCCTTTTAGGGGTTAATAACTTTATTTGGCTTTAGCAAACAATGGTTTTATTCTGCTCTGCTTGTTACATAAGTATATCCTATGAATCCCAAAAATTTCATACTTGTAAAACTATTATTAGAAAGCATAATTTGGTGTTAGAAAAGAAAGAAAAACCGCTGGTCTCATTTTGTTAGAGTTTGGCAGCTGGTGACAGCTGTAATGGTTTGAAACCATTCCTTGAGGATTTATAGAATAAGAAAAGCCTTAGAGGAAGTTTCCTCTGCAGGTTGGTGCAGTGTAAAACTGCCAAGTGTTTTACACACACACACACATACAAAGAAGAACAAGCTGGCTACTGGGAGGCATTTTAAGGGGAAAGCAAAAGATCTGTTGAAATAAAAACTGATTTAGAAAGCAAAATAAGCATGCTTTAAAGGTAAAGAAACCTATAAACCTGAAGAGGGAAACAAGAGTGTAGCAACGCTATTCAAGAGAACAAGGAAATACAGTACAGCTTTCATTTGCCAACAGTTTCCATGCAGGAAGAAAATTTAGAAGTTCAATTTAAATACATTATCTGTATTCAAATTAAAGGAAAGAAACATATGTAGTAGTTCACTATTACAATTGTGAAATAAGAAAAATGGAACAAAGTATGATTTTTATAGCAAGCAAAAATATGTAGGGACAATTAAATAATGTATTAACCGTAAGGAAAAAAAGCAACAGTAATGTTTGAATGCTTTAAGAAAATTTTCAGTTTGAAAGAAGCACAGAATCTAGGAAAAGCTGCAGAAGGTGGTCAAGAATTTGAGGCTTTACTGCAGTTATGTGAACATGGTAAAAAGTAAGCCTGAGGAAATCTGATACTTAAATCAAACAAATGAAAAAGCGTACCCAAAAGGCTCCCAAGTAAAGCTGGCTATTAACTATACCTACAGTTGCAGTGTTCTACTGTTGATCTAGAAAGATCTAATACTTAGTAATATGTACAAGAGTCAGTTATTGAAACAAACTCACTGGAGATTACAGAGAAGAAGAGATCACTCAGCAGGTTGCCAGGAGCATTTTAAAGCACCAATGTTTGCTTTTGGAAAGGTGCTCTAACAATTCAATAAACTGCTCGCTACATTCAGCAGAAGACTGCATTTCCAAGGAAATTGAGAAGTCAGAGACAACACTTTATAAGACAAAAAAAAATCCTGGCTGTAAAAAGGAAAGGAGGTTTGGTCCCAATAGAAAGTCTTTTGTTTAAGTCCCAGCAGAAGTAAAAGCAGCGAGTACATTTGACAATTTAATAGACAAGGAACAACTGTTCCAGTACAACTGGATAAATATTAGCTACCTGGGAAAATTTCTAAGAGGCTAGAACAGGCAAAAAATTTCTGTCCCTGAAGAAGAAGGATATACCCTTCACCTGTTCACTCCCTTTTCTCTTCACTTCTCTCCCCTCTCAATAAATACTAGACATCAAAGTACTCCAAGTACTCCAAGAAACTGCCTTCAGCTAGCAGCCTCAGTTAAACATTCAAAACACTGCAAGGAAGGGGAATGGGAAGTCTGTACAGCTTCAGCACACAAATAGCTGCCCATTTCAGCAGGATGCAGGGCAGTGTGCTGGGGTAGCAATAGCTGGGGAAGAGATCAGACTTCCAGAATATGCTCACGTTTGTTTCTGTCACAATCATAGAGCTATGGTTTCTGCTGCTGTATTGCAAATTTTAAAATCAGCTGCATAGTCTACCATGCCAGTATTGATTTTAGGAATACATTCAAGCTACTAGCAGAATAATTTCCCACACTATCTTCTTGGAAGCAGTTACAACAGATTTGAAGTTCCCAGCAAAAGCATACCCTTGATTCTGTTGGCTAGGAGATTAGCTAGTACAGGAAAATAATCTCTGCAAAGTGAAAGGCATTTGACAAGGATGGTTAAAACCAAAAAAATTATCCGACTAGTACAGGCAGACAGAAGATGGGAACACAGCACATGAAGACCAAAAGAATCACATGTACCATCTGCTAATGGAACAGCTGCTTTTATACTTAAAGATGTTTGTCAGATCTCTACAAAAATCAATGCTATCTAGCCCAGAGCCAGACCAAATATTCCAAATGTGTTCAGATGCTACCATTACACTCACAGTCCTATAGTATGTCATATTTCAGATAAAGATTGAGAGCAAAACTCAAACAGTGAATTATAGTAGATTAGAAATACAGACTTGGCACTAACAAACAACTACTAGGTATTTTAAAGAGAAGACAGATCACAGATCACAGCTGGTACACTCTACTGCCATACAGCAGGGAAAGAGGCTCGTTAGTCTGTTACTAAAAAAAAAAATCTCAGTAAGTCTTGAAAAAGTTCAATTATTGGCTGAAATTTCATGATATATGTTGTTATGTGATGAATTCTTCTGCAAGCCACAATTTTAGCCTACAAAACATCACTGTAAAGTTCTCACAGAACTAAAGTTGCTGAAGGAGGACTTGTCATAAACACAAGATGTCATCTAAGCTGGGGAGGAAATATTTAACATAACGCAAATTAGTGTGATTTCTGTTCTGATATTTTTGTTAATGAAAAATACCTCCAAGGAGGCCTGCCTTTGAACGTTAGTCAGAATACAGTTCAGTTTTCTCTGAAGTAATCTCTCATAAAATAAAATCCTCGTGGTCCTCATCACTATCCCATCAGCTAAAAAGCTGATGAAGTAAAAGAAAATAGAGAACCCAAGATAAAAAGTTACTCATCTATCTGTTTTGTTCAGAGCCCGCCCAAACCACCTATTTTTTTGATGAAGCAGGTGTAACTGGGAGTGAATGCCATGTTTGTAAATCCCAATAAGGCCCACATTATTACAGAGGCTATTTATGCATGACCTCAAGTATTTCATTATCCCCTGGGAGAAGATTTTTAATGAAAGCTCAGTGAAATCCAGAGTTAGGAACAACTGGCAGGGATTTTGAAAATATAGGGTTAGATGCTTACTTAGGGAATCTGGTGATACTTGAGTTACAGACTCTTCTTGCTGACCCCTTTTATTCTACGTAAGGTGCAGATACAGATGTACATTGAATTGTACTGCAGTTTATTTTCCCTAATGTGCTGTTGTTTGGCTTTACTATGCATTATGCATTTAATATAAATTTGCAATGCCTCTCCCTTTGTCTGCTCTTCTCAAGTCTTACAAACAAAATTCAAAATATTCGTGTAGCAATTTCTCTTCATTTTTTCTCCTACCTGACTCTTGCTTCATTTGCATATACAAACTGGAAAAATACACATTACCAGAGAAAAATAAAGAAAAGAGGAAAAACTATGATGAGGAAACAGAATGCAGATTCTTGAAATGAGATATACAGCACAGCAATATCTCTTTAGTATTCTGCCTAATAGAGGTATGGCTGCATATACACATTTATTGAAAGAACCTCTAAAAACCAGGGAAGACAAGCTTCTGATTTTCTGTCCATTTACTTGTACATCAAGACACTGAGTAGGTAGTGCCTTGGTACCTAACGGTACCTAAAAACTTAGGTAGA